GTACACTTGTTAATAGTGAGTTTAAGCAAAGTAGCTAGTAAATACGCTAGTCGGTACTGAATAAGAGTGTCCTCATAACGATCTAGAGATCATCGGGAGCGAGAAATTCAAAGATACATCTTAAATATATAAAGATATGTATACTTTTTTTGCATCTCTATAGTTTTAAAGATACGTATATTCTCTCTTTCGACATTTTTGATGAAGATTTTTGAAGAGAAGCGACACATTCTTTTCACACACTTTCCTCTTTTTTTTTTTTTTATATATTGCCAAACATTTTTAGTTCATTTTATAAATTGATATTGAAATTCACAAATACATAGTTTCTTAGCAATTTTCCGATGATCCAGTTTGTCTCGAGAACACATCTTGTCCACGGAAGCATTTCGATGAATCATCCGCGTCCGACAGAAAAAGAAATAGACAAACTCTCGATATCGTTTATCGATTATTTTAACGTGAGTTGTTGAAAGTAGAGAGGTAGCAAGTAAAAAAAATGTAAAAAATAGCGTCGAACTGCTCATTGGGACAAATCGAGGAAGTGAAAGAGAAAAAGAGTGTACATGAGAGAGAGAAAAAAAGAGCGATAGACACTTTTACCATTAAGCCGTACTAGCATTAATATTACAATCGGTTGTGACTGATTCGATTATTGTTTGCACCGTGACACATAGACATTTAACTTATTACTTCCCAGAGGCTGCACGAACACGCGGGTAAACCAACGGTTTGAATGTGTGGTTAACAATATCCAAGATAATTATTGTTACCGAACTAATTATCATCCAATATGCAAGAGATAGACATTTAAAAATAATAAAACGACGTTATATAAAACGTCGTCACGTTTTCCAACTTTAATTGTCGGTACTTGATCCTTTGAAAACAAGTTCTAAGAATTACTGGGAATTGTCACATCTATATAAATAAGTTTTGATTAATCTTATCATTCTTCGATTTAATTTTCTGAATCTTTGAATTTCTGTCTCTTTCAAAATATTTAAATTAACTTTAAATTAACTTTTCCGATTCCTCGTATTCTTAGATCGCTAGAGAATTCTTTTCATTCAGCGAATACTTGTCTTCATATCTGGATATGAAAGTAAAATATTTGCATTATCGATCACGCACTCTCTCTCAGTAAAAACAGTCGTATTGAAAGCTACACCGAATCGTTGTTCGTCTCCGCTCGTTCGTTCAGCTTCTGGTCATATCATGAACAATTTGGTGTGGGCTGACATTTATGTTAGAAAATATATCCATTTCCCTCGACACCAGCGCGATCGCGCACACAACGCCTAGAGGACCATCCTTTTTCAAGAAATTTGCTCTTCTAAAAATATTTTCGAAAACGATTATAATTTTTCAAATATTTAATTAAAGTGACTTACAAAATTACATTTCTCGATAAATTAAATGGACAATTTTCAAGAACAGCTCCAATATAATTAGAGGAGCGAAATTTTACTGTCTCGTCTCTTTTTATTTTCCCTTCGAGTAAAATAGAAATTTTCACTTATTCTCCGATTTGTTTTCGCGGATAAATTTTGGATAAATCTATTCTTTTCAAGTTGTCGAGCCTCGATATGTCACTTGCAATGATATATATTTGAAAAGAATGATTGAAATATTGGAAAGGATTATTGGCGCCTCTTGATGGCGGCGGCACGTAGCGCATGGTGCGATTTAGATAATTAAAAGGATTAGAGGAAAAAAAATAGGCGGCCGAGCGTCTCGCGGCGTCGCGATGCGGCCGGTCGCTGACGTTAACTACTTACTACTACACACGATTCCGAGGAACTTTTAATCATGTTTAACCTTTATCTCTGGATATTTGCAGAAATTTGTGGTTTGCTGAGTCTTGTCACGACTTTTTGAATGTGTGGAGTCTGATATGTGTATATAGTCTTATATGCTATATATGCATATATGTATAAATATATTTTATATATACATATATATATACATTTATTTTATATATATATATATATGTACATAACTATTGTACCACTATACTCATTGTATAAATTACACATTCACTGCCCCGAAAAAGAGAAAGAGAGAGATGTAAAGCCTCTTCTTCTCAGTTTGATTTGTGGAATCGCGGCTCGTCATCGCTGACGATGACGAGGGTGACGATGATGATGAGGATAATAATGATGGTATAATAATATTGATGATGATGAGGATGTTAATAATGATTATGATTATAATAACATTGATTATGATTATGATATGACGATGATTATGATGATAATGATAATGATGTTGAGATGGACTGCCGTTCTCACATCGCGAGTCCTTTGATTATTTGGGCTTGTTTTAACATCACTTTTTGGAGCAACCGTTATCCTTTTTACCTCCTAGCTTTATTTTAGCTCTGTTTTTGTCGTTTTTTGTTTTTTAAATACGATCGAGCCTCGGGATTTGCTGGCATTTAAATTAATACTTAATCCGTTATATCCAAAATCATTCTATTCTTCATACATTGCTAAAGACTCGTAAATAATATATAAGACATCAAAGTATAATTTTATATTTATAAAGAGTACATGATGGAATGTAACGGGTTAATGATGAATAATTGAGAAAACGAAATAAACGGACGTTATTGTTAAGATTTTGGATAATTGCAGTAATCGCCTTGAATCTATTTCAGATATATGTAATCGCGAATGAGGATGCTTAAAGAACAACGTTCAAAAATGTTTCAATAAGAATTTCAATCCCGATCATTCAAGAATGCAAATTTGCAACTTTCAAGCTTTCCTTATTCTTAAAACATGCATTTTCTCAAGTTTTTACAAATCATTAAGATTAAAGTTTTCAACTTTTCAAATAATAAAATTTTTAGTAAAATAAAATCCAAATTAAACTTTTAAAATTTTTAGCAAAATAAAATCTAAATTAAATTTTTAAATATTCAAGCATTCCAAGTTTTATACAAACCAGTGTCGAATACTGCAAATTGTAAAATGTTCCAATTCGGAAACATCCAAACATCGATCTTTGTAAGGATTTAAAGGACGCTTGCAATAATACAAGATATTAACAATCTTGAAATTTCATATATTTGAATAAGTATTTATTGACGTATTAATTGAAATGAATCCCTCAGGCTCGATCTGTTAGACGAATGTATTTGGCTTCTACTTTGATTGCGTAACGCTATTTGCTTTGAGATCGGTTTCGTATCAAATCTTAGTTCTAGAAGTAAAGGTTGCTCAGTGACGAATCATTGTTCGAGAATAACCATCGGCAAAATTGCAGAAATTGAGCTTTGAATAACAGAATTTAAAAAAAACTCACACAGAAAGAAACATTTAAATATTTGATGAAAAATTTTGGCAATTTCTAATTTTTAATCCAATATAAAATCTATTAATATATCAAATTATTCTCAAGCATGATTCGTTTTAACTCCTTGAGCGTGGATCCATTTATGTGGATGATTAGCAATCTCGATGGATCCTCGAGAGGGTATGGTCTAAGGTGATCAATTTCTCGAGAAGAAAAAGAACACTTGAAAAATCTAATGCAAAGATTTTCGATTGTTCAGTTCAAATTGAAATTTTTCTAATCATATCTCAATTGATAAAGATCTTTGCTTTTTCGTCGTCTTCTTTGATTTTTTGTGTATCAATAATTATGTTTTTCTTTAAAAAAAAAAACCTTATATGATATTAATATATTAATTATATTAATTATAAAAATATCAAAATGTTCATTTTATTTGTATTTTAAAAAGAAATTTATATTTTTCAGGGAAGTAAAATATTAGTGTCATCAATTTCGAGAAAGATAAGCGATGAGATCGAGATCTAACCGACTAAAATCTCTCAAAATAAGGAGTTGATCACCTTGTAAATGTTTTTATAAAAAAAAGGTCCGCCTGCGTCCCGGCAATTCATGCTGGGCGGAATAAAAAGCTCAAGGAAGGCCCCGGGAGCGACAGGCGGGCATGATATCTTCGGTTATTTCTTTTCACCATTATTTAGTGACTAACATTGTTTGAGCTTTAAATAGTACCTTGATCAAAACGGTGTATGTCATGTGTAAGATATACTTGGGTGTGGGAGTACTATTCTGGAGATCGGTAACGCGTTGGACAACATCTCTCTCTGTTATGGTGAAAATATATTTTTTTGAAGTATCTTTAAAAGTACGATTTTATAAAATTAAAATTATCTCAACGCCATTATTTGGGAAATATTTCGAATTAAAAACAATTTTGAAGCAGTTATTCTGAAACGATTTCAATTGAAGCAATTTCAATTGAAAGCAATTTCGAAATTATATGATTTCGAAGCTAAAACGATTCTAAGAAACAATTTTGAAACAATTTTCTCTTCAAGATATTTTCTATTATTTATCTCATTATTTATAAATAAGATTGCTTGTTTAATTAAATATTTTATCTTGAGATATACACAATACTTACATTAGCAATAGCATTAGATTTGACATTATTAAACTAATTTTTAAACATGTTTTTTACATTGATAAATAGCAATTTGATATCATTTCATTATTATCTTGATAAAGAAGAACGCAAATAATCGAGAGCCTCTCTATTGAAAGTTCGAGCTTCGCTAAGAAATTTGCAAATCATAATAAAATTAAATTGAAGATTCGTTTCGCGACTGCTTCGAATCATTTTGAAACATCAATTTCTTTATTGTTGAAAAATTAATAGCAAAAAATAACTGTCCATATCATTCCAAAATTATAACGGAGAAGAAGATCCAATCGCGTCCCGATCTCGACGACGCGCTCTACGCGTACTCGACGCGGGTAAGAGTTGCACAATCTGTCGAGATGATGCACAGATTGCGTTCCTTGATACCGCGTCGTGGACGTGGACGGTGCGCCGGCACTCGTCCTTTCTGGCAGTGTGGTACCACGTACCATGTTGGCTTAGATTGAACACACACACACATGTCGTTCACGACCTGCGAATTCAGTGAAGCTGCATTTCGCATTGCCTTGTGTTGCAGCGTATCCGGTGGCCCCGCATCCACCGACCGGCTTTGTCCCTGCGCCAACGCAACCCCCAACTTACGGTGGTAAGGCTGTGTGATTTTCTGTTATTTTATCCTTGTCCAAGCTAGCAGAGCCACTGTGACATAATAAAAAAAAGACATATTTCAGGACTAGAAGTTTATTTATATTTATATTTATAAATTTGTTAAATTTTTGAATTCTGAACTCATTATTTATTATTATTATTGTTTATTATATTATTATATTATTATATTATTATATAGAAATTTTATGTTAGTTTCTTGGAGCTGGAATTGAATTGACGTTTACTCATTTTTCAAAAAGAATATTTAATTTCTGCAAAATTTTGGAATCTATAAAGTTTTAAAACCATATAATTAAAATTTTTTTAGCTCCATTTCTGCCTCTTATATCAAAAAATTCACTTATATCAAAACCACTGTAATTCTCAAGACTTTTCGGATTAATTAATGAAATTAAAAGAGAATTTTTATGAGAATCTTTTTTTGTAGTTATATTCAAGAAAAAAAATATTAAGTTTAATATCTCTATTTTTTTAAATACACATCTATTGAAAACTTTACAATAAAAAATATGTCAGAATTTATTATATTAATATAATTAAGCAGGCCAAATATGTATCTCGCTCTATAGGACGCATATGATAAACTTTATTATTAATTTGTATTAAAATAAGAAGGACAAAGATATTCTATGTCATTATTTCTTTCGAATCGCATTGAACCGTCAAAGCTACTTTTAGATTGTACCGAGTATTGATTGTATTGAGAGTTCAATGAGGATAATGTTTTACACTAACTATATTGAATGATTCTAATAACATATATCCAATAGTTGCAGGCGCCGCACCCTATGGAGTATTTCCCAATCAACCTCAATTATATGCGACGCAAGGTCCGCCGCCACCGACATACGATCAGACCCTTACGCATCCTATGGTGAGAGTTATCATCCAGTTTTATTTCTATAAAAGACATAAAAAGGAAGTCTGAACTTGAAATCCATCAATAATGCTTTTAGATGTATCAACCAATGTATGGACAGGGATATCCTTTGCAATATTATCCACCAGGGTACCCATTGCAATATTATCCGCCGTTGGCTGCGACTACAGCATATTATCCTGCTATGCAGCCCGCTCCTGTAAGGCCCACTATCATGGTACCTGTAAGTATAGATATATATATATATATATAGATATATATACGTAATGTTTTTTTTTCTACGATTCCTCTATTATACGTTAACTATTTTCAAAAATGTATATTATAATTACACTTTGCACCATATATATAGAAATGCTTATTTTCTAGTTATTCACTTTTAAATAATTAGTAAATTTTGTCACAGTTGCTTAACACAAATAATATTCACTTTATAGAACGGTTTCGATGGTACCCGGTTCGATGGCATCTCGCAGCCGGTGTTGCCGCCACCACCACCTGGAGTGGCCGCCAATGCTGCACAATTGGCCGCGATGGCTGGTCATAGCGTAGCCCTATCGCAAAAGAAGGGTTCGTTCCTAGGAGGAGGAACGGAGGGCGGTTATACCTTTTGGTAAATCGTCAAACCACCTCTTGTGTAACATACATACATGTAGAGACACATGTATATTACTCATACAATTACATTAACTGTTGGAAGCGCTGTGTTGTCGAGGCGACGAGATTATGTAGGCAACTTCTGGTAGAGCTCCGCTTTTAGGCCATTGCATGTGAAAGAGTTTTAGTCTTAGTAATTATAAGACTGTAAGCGAACCAACAGTCACTCTACTACCTTGTGATGGAATGCTTGACTGTGATTGTGGTCGATTACGGTCTTATGGTTATGACTAAAATTTTTTACATGCAATAGCTTTCTCTCACTGCTATTGGAGACAACACATACACACAATACACACATATATACACTACATTATATATATCGATATTTATTAATATTGATAAAACGTGTGAGCGGACTGATCACACATACGACACATTTGCGCGGGTGTCACACGCGCAATGCACACGCATACACATACACACACACACACATAAATACACAGCAGCAACATACACATTTAAACATAAGCAGCAACCGTGAGAGTTCTCACACGATTCATCTACGGCGATATTTGCGATCGATAGAAGCAATCCAATGATCTCAAGGACACCGTCGCCGTCTTGGTGATCAATTTGCGTATTTCATGTACTATTGAGCCGAAGAGAATCGTCTTGGCCGAGAAAGATTCGGACACAATGACACTCGTCGAATACCCTATAAAGATAGTTTTTTGAAAGCTCACCGTTCCGTGAAAATCGGGATGAAAGCACTACACGAGTTTTGAAGGATCCAAAGATCCGAAAGTTTCGAGCCCAAGATTATCCGTAATTATCGAGAAAAACGTCCGTTAACGGACCATAGATCCGAACTAATGGAAATTCAGAATTTCCGCAATTAAAATTTTTTAGAATTCAGAAAGTGCAAAATATATAATTTGCTAATGATCAAATTTAAAGAATTGAAGAACATTTAGACCTATGGAATTCCAAGAGGAATTTGGAGTTTTAAAAGCTTTAGAATTTCAATGTGTATCACACACAAGAAATTTATTCTTTTTAGCTGAACTGGAACGGAATAAAATGAAATAGATATATTTAGAAATTAGAAAAAAAGAAAAAAAGTATAACAAGTTCTGCTAAAAAGATCTATGTACTTGGAGATTCGAATTTTCATAATGTAAGGTTTTAGAACATTAACGACATAATCTACAGTTGAATTGTTTAAGGAAATAATAATTGAAATACTAATTGAAAATAAAAATTGAAATTTATGATTATTGATTTTCTCAAGATTCAAAATACTCAGAATCTAGCATCGGTTAGTAGCTTTCATTCAAAGATTCAAATATCGAGAAATGATTTATCGATTAAATTTGCTTATATTTAGTTATTAGTTGAAATTTGCTTATATTTAGTTATTAATTGAAAAGATAAAATATTAAGAATCTATGGTCATAAATTTCTGAGAATCTTTAGTAACCTGTGAAAGGATCCATGGTATCGGAGGATCCGAAAGCTCGAAGCAGTCGTTGTGTCTTTCTTACGAAAAAGATATTGCGAGAATGTTATTTTACGAACTAACTAGTTAGACCAGGAAAAGATGGACTAATGCCATTGATGAGAAGCGATCGATGTCGCTGCGCTCATCAAAGCAGAAGGAAAGAATCAAGAATAGAGTGCATGAGCCCAATGTCGACTATTGTAGGAATTCACGTGACATATTGCGTTGATATTTATATTTAAATTATTGTTATTTAAACAATTTATTTGCAGACCCTCCTTAGAGACAGAATCATCAGTGCAACATGTTTCAACAATTAATTTTGTATCTGGAGAGACTGTGAGTGAAAAAGAATGGAGAGGGAGAGAAAAAAAAAAGAAAGAGAAGAAGAAAGAGAGAAAGAAAGAGAGAAAGAAAGAGAGAAAGGGACAAAGAAAGAATGAGTTTTGTTATCACGAAAAAGTGTGCAATAAGCGTAAATCTATTGTAATAATAAAAAAAAAAACAATATTAATTGAAACTGTGCACTTGTTATTAGGTTGAATAAATGAGTGAGAGAAATAAAAAGAAAACAGAATACATGCGAGTGAGTGAATGAGTAAAAGTGAGAGTGAGTGAGACAATAGTGAATGAAAGAAAACAATGAAAATGTATCACTGCGCAATGATCAATTGTACCAGTTAATAAATGCTATGATCATGAAATTCGTTAATTGAAATTTGTTCTTTTTTATATACATATATGAGCGATTATAATCTTTTATTATTCTTTTATTCTTGCAATGTATACTAGATATGTAAAGCTTTATAATTTTATTGAGTATTTCTCTTTAATTTATATTGTTGAATTAACCTTCAACATGAATACAAGATTTTTTGTTAATATATCGTTTTCTTCTATAATAATTTTATCTTAAAATTGCAATACAACGATAATAGAGAAAATAATTTCAATAAATTTTCATTTTAAATTTGTATTTAGAAAATGGCAAATTTATAATATTAAAAGAAAATGTTCATACATGCATTTTGCCAATTATTTTATTTATTAAAAATATATGTGCATTTATTATAAATTGTAAAAAAATATTCTCTATAATTTAAAATTTTTGAAATATGTACAATACTTTTTGTTACAAATACACAAAAATATAATTTTTTTGCTTTTTATTACGAGTTACATAATATTAACAATTTTGGGAATTTTACCTTGTATCAATTCTAGTTCCAATAATGCATTCAGATTTTGAATTTGATGTTGCGCCCTGCGCAATTTCTATAGGAAGTGGGTAAATTTAAAAATGCCATTCTCAATATTAATTATTTAAATATTCAGCCTTAAACTTACCAGTCTTAATTCGTTATTTACTTGAGGATCTGACTTGGCAAGCTTTTTCTTTTGCGAAAATTCCTGAACAGAGAATCCGATATATTTTTCCAGGATCTAAAACAAAGATGTAATTCGCGTTTTTAAAATATACCACTCATTCTCTAACAATATTTAGTTTTTCTTTGTGACCACAAAATTTTTCCAAAAAAAGTTATATGAATTTTAATTGTTGATAAATTAATTTTTTACATGTAATTTAATTATTATTGCACACATATACATTTGATACTTTAATAAAATATATGAAAGATTCTTTTTTCGAGATATATAGATTATATATAAGATATATAGATTATATTATAAATCTTAATTATTATACATAGGGTTCATTTTCGTTGAAAGTTTATTTATTTTTTTACGTATATTTAAATATATAAATATCTAAACATTTAAATATGTTTATATTTTTTTAGACATAAATTTGTGTGACTTTCAATTTTTATATCAAAATTCAATATAGTCGCAAAAAATCAGAACCTAAGAAATTTCTTGTTGTATCACTTACTTCAGAATCGAAACAAACTTCTATACTGGAAGTGTGATCTGCAATCAGTGCTGTTACTGTCCAATGTTTATCCTGTTTTTTTAATGCTGAATGACTCTTCACTTGAGCTCTCACTATTTTATGTATTTTTCCTATAATAGGCTTGGATAATATGTCGCTCAGAACATTAATGGTTGCTGCTTGTTTGGTTGTGCTCGAAATGCTTGCCTTTGGGAAAAATATAGAATTGAATAAATAAGAAAAATTTTAATATAAAGAAATATATAAATTGTTAAAAAAATAGTATTGAAATTAGATAATGCTCATTAAGAGAAAATTATTATACTGATTTTTATGAAATTTGCAGAAATGATAGAATATATTACTACTATTCTTTTGAATAAAGTTACACATATGTACCTTAGAAATTAAATTATGTAGAATAAGATGATTTCTTTTTCTGTTATGGTATATCTTTCAATTTAAATTTGATTTGTTTATATAAATATCTTAAGAATTTAATATTTTTCATTAATAAATGATATAAAAAATATATAAAATTTACATTAGCATATTAAAAAAACATAAATAATTCAAATAAACCTAGAAATTTATTAAAAAATTTCTAATTCTAGATAGAAACATTTGAAGTATGTGTGAAATGCATAGAATATCTTTTATACATGGTTTTAATTCTTTTATATATATTTACTAAGCATTTTTTATTTATCTTAATGAGCACTATTTATTTTATAGTCTTGAATCCCCTTCTTTAATATCCTTAGCACACATATGGATCGCTTAGAACATATACACACGTAGAAAAAAAAAGAAAAAAAAAAATATATATATATATATATATATATATATATATAATGTAATCTTGCAAATACATACCATAAATTTTTCGTTTTGTTTTGTCAAAGTTTCCATATTTGTTTTAATTTTTTTTGAGGTATCATGAGTTGCCAAATTCGAGCCAAATTTGGGCGAGGAATATGCTTTGATTTCATCTTTTGAGAGATTTTTATTCTGTTTACTAAAACAATATGTATATAAAATGAAATAAATAAATACGAAAATTAGAAATAACATTAAAAAAAAGAGAAGAAATATAAAGATGAGAACCTCCGCGATTTTTCTGTGTTAACAATGATTTCACAATTATCGAAATCATTGTTGCGAAATTCCGAAGCATCTTTATTTATCTTAGAAGAACTTGCGAAAGATAATGGTTTGCTACGAAAATCATGTGCTGAGACTGATACTTCTTCAACTATCATTATATTATTATCCTCCTCATTGAAATTTTCAATTTCCATCCGCGAAGCAGGCGATACAGATCTCGTGGGGGAATTATTGGGCCTAAAATATGCCGCTTGATATACAATTGGAGAACATTAATAAGCAATAAAATCTGTTATATATCATAGAATTGTGAATTCTAAAATAGATATGTAGAATAGTCTTATGATTAAAACGATGGTAATTATTATTTGGATAAAATTTCAATTAAAAAGTTAATATCTGTTTTATTAACTTCAATACCAACCAATTCTCTACAGGGTCAAAATCTATGTCCTCTAAAAACTCTTCCATAGTTTCTTTTGTTTCTCTGATTTGTTTCTGATTATACACACTTCCAAAGCTATTTTCAATGGTTTTTATTTCTTGATTTCGCCGTTCGATTGCCGTTACTGCTTCTAAGTCGACAGTCTCCTCAAAATCATCATCGAATAAATTATCATTGCTGTTAATATTGTCATTCGATTTGGGCGAGGCGTTATGAACATTCTGATTCACAGGTCTGGATAGCCCATTATCATTATATGGATCAGAATTTTCTGGTTCTCCACTAGAAAATAAAATAAATATCAAGAACAAATTAGAAAAGCTATAGAAACCTTAAGTTCAACAAAGTCTTACAGAGCTCTAGCCAAGACATTCTCCAACGCATTGGATTTTAATAGAGATTCCACTTCCCCACCGATTTCCTTATATTTTCCATCTTCCAAGAGAATAATTCCACGTCTACAATTAATTGGACCAATTATCATCACTTTATATCCAGGAAGCAACATATTCTGCAAAAACAATTGTACAATTATTATTTTAATTCAATAATTTAGATGAAAAGTAATTTATTCAAAATTTCTCATAAAAAAAAAATATAATGCAGTAATGAAAATTCTTACAGTCATTTGTTTAAGCGGTTTATACTCTATGGCAGTAATATCCTGTACTCCATCAGTAAGATACAATTGTATCATTCTTCTAGCTTTAGGTTCCCATTCAGCTGGTTTCTCTTCTTCTGGTACTATCAAATTCTCATTATTGATTTTACGAATTTCACAAAGTTGCTTGTATTTAGAATTTGCTATATCATACATCTTGTCCACCTATGCTTGTATTGGATAATTTTTGTATACAGATTTGAAGAAATATACACCAAAACAAATGTTTTACAAAATTTACCTGAAGTATATAGGTACCAGTTAATACAGTATGCACTTGTTGTATCAAGTTCCTTGGTAAACATCCATTCACATTGTTGATCTCTCGCAAATCACTTAATTGCCATTGGCCCTCTACAAATTCCAAAATATGCCTGTCTGTTACCTATAATGATAATTGTTAGTGTTATTTAAAGCTCTAAGTAATCTAATTTATTAAAATTTTGTTCATTATTAAATATTTCAAAAATTTCTCAATTTTTCTTATAATACAAAGCTTTGTAAGCAATCAACTTTACAAGTTAAAAATATTTAATATTATAACAAAACAAAACTTGCATGTATAAAATATTTCTCATTGATTTTTCTATAAATCTTGAAATAAAATTATTATACAATTATTAATACATAATTTCATGTAGTTTTAGTATAATTCATAATTTTAAATGATGATACACAAGACATACTTCATGATTTTTGTCTCTGATAAAGTATTTGATGCAATCTTGCAACCACGCGTCGTTCATTACATAAAACTTTGCATTTAATTGGTTTTTTATCCGTTTTAATAAATTCTCATTCATTTTCACGTTTTCTTTCTTTTTCTATATAAATTTGAGTATTATTTATTGTTAGCAAAAATATTGTTGTATTATTTATTATTACCAATCAGTACCGAACCATATTTATGTACCAAACATTGTTGAGAACAGTGACGTATAAATGACGTTTAAAATGGCTGCGTTCCAAAATTCACTGCCGATACTGAAATCTATAGTTTACGTGACATACACCATAGATTTTCAGTACTGGCAGTAAATTTTGGAACACAACCAGTATGACACGTGATGGGCATTTCAGGTGACAAGATTTCATAGAAAACAAGTTAAATATCGATATAAATTAATTAATTAATATAATTGATAAATTTTTTATTTCATATTTTTAATTAATTTTAAAAAAATTTTAAAATAATTAAATTATTTTTTTGGATTCGCGTGCGCATGAAAAGTTTATTTCCATGCGCGTGCGCGAAAATTTAGATTTTGTGCGCATGCGTGATTATTAACATGATTGATAAGTTCAAGATGTTGTATAGAGCTCTTAATTTAGTTTATAAATTAACAATATATTTTTATAAATTTTTAAAACATAAACAAAATATAAAAAAATTTAAATATAAATTTAAATATAAACAAATTATAAAAAATTTCTTAAAGATTATAAAATTTATTTTATTACATAATAATTCTCTCTATTCAATAACAAATTTATTTTATAATGCTAGTATTTATATTTCATTTCTAATGTTTAACGGAGAAGAAAAAATTATCTATTATATATTTTAATATATTTTGGGAAAATTGATTATATATATATATATATATATATATATATATATATATATATATATTTATATAATATATTTATTGATCTTTATAGTAGATGCACATTTATATATATATATATATATATATATATATATATATATATTTATTTATTTATTAATCTTTATAGTAGACGCACATTTTAGAGAATTATATTTGATAATTAAACTATGTAATGAAAGATTTAGTTAACTGATTGGAAAGTTTATACCAAGATTTAACAAATTCTCCCTTTTTAACAAACTTTTGCATTTCCAAGCAGAAATTAGTTAATTAATCATTCACTTTATTAATTTGTAAAAATAAACATGAGAGATATCTCAAGAACTTAAAATTCTTAGAAAGTTTAAAAAATATAAATAAACAGAAGAGACTATTTATATCTTAAAATGTTATTCTGCGCAAATCTTTAAGATAGAACCTAATCTTTATAATTTTCCTAAGAAATACATTATATTAAAGCTTGATATTGTTGCCACATATAAACTAAAGATATAGTAAGTTATTTAGAATCTTCTCTTTTAACTTTTTCATTTGAACTTATTATCCCAATAATGAAATGTAAAAAATATATGTTACACATATGTAACATTGTAATGCACATTATTGTAATATTGGGAATATATTATATAACTTATAAAACATTTTAATTATATATTAATCATGTATATATACAATAAAGTATTTTGCTATTACTCTCTGAGTCGCGCCAATCTCTGTGTCAACTCATCTTGTTCTTGGCTCACCGCTGTCGAAGTACCGATACTGCCCAGTTGACCAGAGGGCAACTCCATGTTCAGCTCCAGACTACAAATAAATAAAGTCAATTAAAGTTTTCTGAGCAATTTAGATACTTTTATTTAAAAATAAATAGTATTCTTTTATATGTATACATCATGGATTAAGATAAGAATACATCAAAATAAGAATCAAAATAAGAATCAAAATTCTTCATTGTAATCATAATAATCAATTCTTCATTATAATCATAAAATAAACTTAAACTGACAAATAAATATTATACATAAATATTCTCACCCAGCTTCATCTGCAACTTGCTGCATCAAAGAATCGACATCATTTTGAGGTACATTGGTAGTTGTAGTTTGCGACATAGCATTTTCCATATATGAACTTTGTACATCTAGATCTTCAAATTGACTTTCAAACTTGTCCATAAGTCCAGAGATTTTTTCCAAATTCATCGATTTCATTGCCGCATCCATGGCTTTAACAACACCAGCCATAGACTGAGTGACTTTACGAGTTGTGAGTGCAGTCTGTACTCTGCTAGCCACTGCATCCACTCTGGCACTCATCCTAAGATAATTTAAGGCCTGGTTTTTCTGTCGAATTGCATTCTCTGCATGGATACGAGCACCTTCCATATTACCTTTCTGTATTGCTTTCTTAATCTTTGTTTTCTCTATTTTTTCCTCCTTCTCACATTTTTTCGAGTTTCTCTCTAACTCCTTTACCGCAAACTTCAAATTGAATAAATTTTCTACACTTTATTAAGGAAAATAGTTCACAAAAATTTGCAACCTCTTGTTCAAAAGGGAGTTAGAAGATAACTTCCGACAATTCCTATGATGTGTCATGATGTGAATATCCTTTGAAGATGCATTGACAAGTTTTGCTTCACTTTATAAAGGAAATCAAGAATTTCAAAATGAAAATAAATAAATAAAATATTTATTTAATACTTTAGTATAAATAAAATATTTAAAGGATACTTTCCATTTGAGAAACGGACATAGCTGATTGTTCGGCCCCCGTTGTGAAGAAGTGAAAACCTAACCACAAAAATAAAATATCGGCTTTAACGCGTCGCTCTTTGTCGACGAATTAAATAAAATGACAAATCAGTAACTTGTCATAAAACAGGCTATATTGTTATTTATAATATGTTTCTGTCACTCGAATTGGAAGATGGGAAGAATAAAGGCTATCTTTTTCGTTCTCGTTCAATTGACATGACAGTTTCGCTCGAGATATTACGATATTACTCATCCCCACACGCCATCTGTGGACATAGAAATGTGGATATGAATTACGAAGCCACGAATATTTGCCATGAATATTTTCAGTCGGTAACACATAATGGACACAGTTTCGAGTTGTGTTCCATGCTACGTGCATGAAATGTCGGTAACGCGAGTGTTAAAATATTGTAACGCAAATAATTGCTAATGTATAATTTTTATAAATAACGTGTAACTGATACTTATATGTTTGGCAACGAAAATTCTTAAACTGCATATTCTGTGTAATTTATTCATTTAATCAACTAAGAATAAACATCATGTTTTAAATTGATTATTAATAAATTCGTGTTACCAACACTTCGAGCATACAGCACGGAACAGAATCACAATGTGTGAACATAGCATGTTAAGAAGTATTGTAAATGTCAAAAAATGATCGCGAATTTCTATGTTATATATTGAATCAAAATTGCACAAAAGAGGAAAAGAAGAACAAGCCTATGAATAGACATTTCCATTCTTTACTAAAAAAAAAAAAATTAAAAATATCTCTCAATTTTTTCTCTCTTTCTTCGGGCAAGTCTACATATATGACCAATATGATTAATTGATTCCATCTTTATATATTTATCATTATGTGCTATTAAGTAAAGCCGTAGACAATATTCAGAAATCAAAGTTGCGCGCAGGAATGACCATCCGCAGAAACGAATGCGCACTAGTTCGGCCGCCATGTTGGCGCGTGACTGCACGTCACTGCTACGTCATACGCGTCACTGCTACGTCAAACGCGTCATACGGCCGCCATGTTGGCGCGTGAATCGGAGTCATACGCAGTTACACGGATCGTCGTACGTCCGCATTTTTCGCATCTTTTAACCGTTTTTAAACGAATATTGCAAGTGAACGAGTGTCGAGAGTGTCGAAGGATGATCGCGCGACTTTTATAGTGTGTCGATGGAAACGCGCGACAGCGATTTTTGACGATATTCAGTGATGGCGTCATCGCGAAGATGGAGCGAAGTTGCGTCGCGTTATTCGCGTCCTTGATGATGATTATCGGATGCGAGCGAGTATCGAGAATGCCGAATAAAGTGTCGCGCGTTCGCGTTGATGATATCGTGTGAGTTTGTGTGCATCAAGATCGGAATGGGTCGTCCCGAGGCGAGCGAGTGGAGCGGCCTGTGGAACAGCCGGTGCGTAGATTTGATTTATCATATTTGCGTGCACAATTCGTGCTCATTCGACGCTTATATGCACGCTTATAGCATCGCGATGTCCCGAATTACAATCGGACAAATCGGCGCCGCATCATAATTCGATTCGGTGCAATTCAAATAAAGTCGATCGCGTGAAGATGGTTATGCTAGGAGCGATTTCAAATTTATTTTGTATACGCGCAGTGCTGCACAGCCTATCTCGTAGGGCTAGGGACAGCTGCCAACTGTCAAACGATAAATTTTTTCGATCTAACCTAACCTAACCTCTCAGTGCTTTGGATGTCGAATGTAAACACAAGCGTATGCTGCCTGGATTTTATCATGCTTTCAAAAATAATATTTAATTATTTCATTAGTGTATTACATTTTATTACGTAGTATATTAATCGTATTTCGTTTTTTCAAAAAACGATTAAAATTGCGGTACTTTGTTAATCTAGTGACTTTATTTGAAGGAGAGAGAGAGAGAGAGAAAGAGAAAGAGAAAGAAGAGAAATGTCACATTGAAAGTAATATAAATAATCATGAATAAATGTATAAATGTAAAAACAAGGCTTCTAAGAAAATTGATATTTAAAAGAAGTAAGTATTAGTTCAATTAAAACTGTTTTTCATATTTTTTGTGCGAATAAAGTTAAATAATCATTGTACAGGTTAAAGTAATTAAAGTCTAAGATCTTATGTCTTACAGTGGTTATATTTTCATTATTTTATTATTGTTGTAAACATTTTAATTACAAATTTATTATTTCTTTCATATACGGTAGACTGATTAATTAGAAGTATATAAAGTGATTATATATAAAAAGCACATACATTTTATTATATTGGAAGACTCAAGGGAATATATTTATTAAGAGAAATTCTCTTAAATTAAATATTTATTAAGAGAAATTCCCTTTAACTAAATTAAGTTTAAATTAAATTTATTTTTACAAGTTTCATTTTTGTGTATTGTAATGCATAATTTACTTAATAAAACTTGTAAAAGTTGTATTTGATTTTGTCTTAATTAATTTTCATTTTCTTATTTTACATCGATACAAATTTCTTGACTATCTGTAGTACATAACTGTATACAATTCACTTTTACATCCGTTTCCTTAGAATCTTTATAATATAAAAATTTTTTATCTAATGCATATTATTCGTACATATGAAAGTAAATTAAAAGAAAGCACAAACCATAGATTATAGTATATTTCACCGGAAAGACATAAACAGTGAAGCAATGCTGAAACCAATAGAAAATTCAATCAAGAGAAAACTGGAAACCGCATTGAGACCTCTGTACTGTAATATCATTAATGAATCTCATATGCATAATGTTCCCAAGGACTCCGAGACACATTTCAAAGTGGTGATTGTATCAGAAAGATTTAACAAACAGCCATTGATTGAGGTAATTATTAGAAGAAATAATGTTTTTTAATTAAACATTTAATTTTAAATCAATCAAATTTTTTAAAACCTGATATGATTAATCATGAGCATATGAAATATAACATGCAATTTATATGAAAATAAAAATGTTTCTGAAGCAAATAAAATAATAATAAAAAACATGGATTTTTATCTATAAATTTATGAAGAACCTGAATTAAAATTGAAATAATCATTTAGAGACATCGAATAATAAATGAATTATTGCAAGTGGAACTACAAGAAAGCGTACATGCTTTATCAATAGTAGTAAGTGATAATAATGATTAATTCTTTTTACTAGCTTAAAAAATAAATTATGCTCCATTTTTTCATATCCAATCAACAACTAGATTAGATTATAGAATATAGATAGAAAATTTTTGCATTAATGCGGTTTAATGTTTAAGGCAAAAACACCAGAACAATGGGAAGCAAGCAATAAAACAGTGACTGCGAGTCCTGCTTGCAGAGGTGGTTTTGGAAAATAACGTTATTTAATAATTTAATTAAGGATAACTTAGGTATAAAAATAAATTATGCAATATACGTAATATAAATAATAAAGACATATTTTAATTTGATTTATACATAACTACTATATACTTTTTCTTTTTAATGAGATCTTTAGTATATACACATACATACATATACATATATATATATATATATATATATATGTTCTGCATTTAAAATATTTTCTATACGTTAAATAAAATTGCTAAAAATGTTTTTTATTCATAAAATTGAAATATAACAATAAAGATTTTAAAAAAAAAGTTCAATATATAAATATTCATATTTTTATCTTTAGAATTTACTATATTATTTGAATTATATCTTTCTGGAAATATAGCATTGCTACAATTACTTCTTTAGTTGCAGGATTTCAGTCAACAATATGATAAATTGTAACTTAAATTTCGTATTCTCTCACATAGAGAGAATTATATATTATTATTGAATAATTTAGTGTTTTTCCTTTTAACTTTTTTCATATTGTATATTAAAAAGTGAAAATTTTTAATAAATATAAAAATTATGTATGTGTATGTATATGTAATTAAAAAAATTAAAGATTTTTTTTGTAACTCACATATTGTTGCGTCAAGTTCTACATGCATGAAGCATACCAAATTTATAATATAATACAATAAAAATGACAAAAATAAAAAGATGCCTAATGTCACAATACAAATGTATCCAATCTTAGTTTGCCTTCGTTCTCGGTGAGATAAAGCATGTCTGCCATTGATTGCTCAGCTATCGCCTCTTCTGCCTTCTCGTGCATCTATGATAATGACATAGTTTAAACAAGCAAGTAATAAATTAATATTATTAATACTTAAAACTTCCATATTTTCATTAAATGAAATTTAGTATTAAATAAGTATTTAGTTTTAGATTAGTAATTATATTATTTAAAATAAGGTAAATGTAAAAATTATAAATAATCTACATTTATATTAATATATTAATATTATATATTAATATGTAAAACTTATTTTTATGAGATAGTTGTAAAATTAATTTCTTCAAAATGCTTCATATTTTAACTAGATGTAATATAATCTATATAATATCTAAATGTCTATATATTTCAAAAAAATTGATCATCTTAAAGCTGAACGTTTTACAATTGTAAATAGCATCATTAAATTGTAACATAATGCAATAAAATTTTCTTAGTATGTTCAAATCATGGTATATAATTAAAAAAAAATAAATGACTAGTAAATGCAATAGTAACAATTATTTAATAAAAAATATTACAAGAAAGATTAAAATTATGTTCATCATATAGTTTTTATTATATCATCTAGAAAGATATTTAGAATTGTGAGTTGAATGATCTGTCAACTTATATCATCAATTATAAAATAGAATGTAAAAGGTGTGATTACACTTACACCTCTGAATGTAATATCAGTTGGAGGACATTTGAAATTTGGTCCGAAATTCACAGACACTGTTGCACTTTTATAGATCGAAATTCCAGGATAATAGGCGCCTTTATTGATATCCATAAAAGCATCACCTTGAGTGATTCCGTTTTTGTAATATATAATTTTGCTACCTTCCAAAGACCGCAGAGCCTTTAAAGCTTCCTGCACTTGATCTTTCTCCTCATAATATAAGTGGCTCTTGAACTTCACTAAAGGCTAATTTAAAAACAAGAAAACATAAAGGATAAATAATTCGTAAATAATTTTATAAAAAATTATTTGTAAGACATTTTGATAATAAAAAGAAAAAAGAAAATGAAAGTATCATAATAATTTAATTATTTCAAAAATATTCGAGCAATTTCAATTAAATTTTTTTCTATTAATATCTATTAAATGATATACTCACTCTGTCTTTATAAGTATTTGGAATATGCGATGCATCATATGCGTTTGGAAGAACTATGAGGAAACCCAATGTGTCACCCTCGCTATAACCATTACTATAATGTTTACCGCGGCTTTCATGAAATCGCGTACCCTTCCTATTAAATATTGAATCATGAAAGTATGTTGAAATTTTTTCTTTAAGACAAATATACTATCTTTAAAAAGTCCGAAAATATAAGTCTTATACTAAAAAGTAATAGAATAATAAATCATTTTCTGAATTGAGAAAGCATAGATTTTTTAAAACAAATTATTGTTATAAGATTTATCAATATTTCATATCAAAAATAAAAATATAAAAAAATAGAATTATGATTTAAAACACATTTTAAGATTTTTTTAAATGTACTAAATGTAATAATTATAAGTATATATAACACCTTGATCTCCATGAATAACCAAACTTATCATAGCCAAGTGGAGCTTGCAAATTCGCGTATTCTTGTCCCCATCCAAGTCTTGTCGCGGATCCTTCTGGCATTTCCTCGATCGTAGCTTCCCAATACCAAGTGCCCCTACTTACACCTATAAGAGATATTGATTGATATAATTAAAATATTTATACAGACTATCACAAATCAAAAGCATTTTTCAAATAATATTGGAAATATAGAGACAAAAATAACGGAACGAGATTAAAGTGCAAAATGATATAATGAAAAGAATAAAAATTGAAAATAAATTATATTGTTAGCAAGACAATATTTTATGGAAGAGAAAAAACTACAGGAAGAATAACATTGTATGTGAATAATGTAAGAAAATCTAATCTATCTCTCTCTCTCTCCCCCTCTCCCTCTCTCCCCCCTCTCTCTTTTTGAGACAAATTTATATTTTAAAAAATATATAATTATAATTATTTTTGTAGAGGATATTATAAAAAATGTTATAAAATTTTTCTCTTGCAAGATTGTGTTAAATATCTCGACACAACGTTATCGTATATCTTTATAAATTGATAGCGTTCTCACTGTGTGTAGCTCTTATCATGCAATATCCTTTTTCCCCAGTAACTGCCAATCTATCTTCAGCAACTTTGAGCTGTGGTGCGCGATCATGTAATGCAAGCAATACAGTACTCGGGCTAAGAGCGCGGTACAGCCATCCGGGTATAGGTTTACCAGCCCAGTCGCTACTCTCGTCAAACTCCTAAATACAAATTAATATAGATAAATTAAAATATTTGGAAAATTTAAAGAGCACTTTTTTCTGTTACTTGAAGACATTATTATAATTTAAGTCTAGAATTTTAACTCTTTATTTATAATATATAAAAACAGCTTATAGAATTTTCAATCTTAGAGATAAATATATATACATGTGTAAAAGAATAAAGTTTCATATACATGTGTTAAAGAATAAAGTTTCTATTTTTTATTATATTTATATGTCAAGCTTAAGAAAAAGCAAAAAGTAAATATGTATAAAAAGTTAAGACATCAAAGATATATTAAAATATTTCTTATCATCTTTTTAATCTTTAATTTTTTAATTTTTAAAAGTTTTATCTAAAAAATTAGTTTCTATATTTTCTATTGTTTTTTTTGTATTGCATTATAATTTCCTCTTTCTATACAACTTATACAAAGATTATTAAAAGAATTGTTAATATCAAAAAAGTACATCTTACTTGTCGGAAAGGTGCATGAGGATCTGGTTCTGCCAAGATATATCTGTAGCCATCTTTATTAAACGGATGTTCCAGTGGATAACCATGAGCAGGCAATTTAGGAGTAGTCATGTCGGATCCTCTACCCTTTTTCCCAGAACCTGTACCAGCGGCTTCGCCAGGAAACTTGCGCTTAGCATTACGACCGCGCAATCCTCCACTAAGTGGCACTAAACGTTCCATTTTAATGCAATATCACTTCACTTTTGATATCAATAATATCGTTCTTAAATATTTTTTTTTCAAATTTAATCACGTTTTTTTGTAATATATTCAAATTTAATAATGAAAATAAATAAGTAATTAATCAATAATTTATCTTTTTTTAAATTGACTAATTAATTGCCACAATAAATTCCTTATATATATGTAGATAATGATATGTAAATGATATGAATAATGATATCAAATATAACATTACAACTTTGTGAAATGCCTTAGGGCAAAGTTTATTAGAAATCTATTCAATTTCTCTGTCGTGATTTAAACTTGAGTAGCTTTTTGATAGCAAGTTGATGCGTGCGATTACATCTCTGTGATAAGATAAAGAATAACAGATCTATATACATTTAGTTATGATCAAAATTTGTTCTGAAGATTTGCAAAAGAGAAAGAAAATTTAATAAATTACATATATTTGTTTTTTTTTTTTTAATCTAGGATAGACTTTACATTTTTTAATCTAGGATAGACTTTACATATTTTGTATAAATATTTGTTTTGTATATATTGTCTTCATTCATTTATATTTCATAAATATTGAAATACATACATATATATGTATATATAACAAAATAATTGTGTGTAATCGAAATAAAGTCTAAATATTTATAGATTGAAAGATATAAACAAAACTAAACTTTTAAAAGTTCTAAAACTTTTTTCTAAAACTCTTTTTCTATATCTTGAATTTAAAAGAGAATAGATCGTTTTTAGCAAAAATTTTGGTAAATGCTAGTTTTTTCATAAATTTTTAATTTATATTATTAAAAAAATATATTATTAACTTATTAAGTTTAAATTGAAACTTTGTTATACAATTAATATAAAATTATACAATTAAAATTAAAATTATGACATTATACAATTAATGTAAAATTAACAATAAGAAAGTAGTAGATACATACCAACATGCTGTAAACCCATTTCTGTCGCTCGCAAGTGACCATTTTTAATCATGGCTTCATAATTTGGTTTAATTGTTGTAAGTTCAGGACTTGCCAGACCAAAGAGTTGACCTTCAGACGTACTCTCGTCCATCGTAAATAGCGTTCCGACATCTTTAAGTAATGCTCTGTGGATCTAGCAAATCAAATGTTTGTCAAAGATAATATAATTATTGTAGAATCAAAATTTAAAAATACTAATATAATACTAGTTCATGTCTTATACTTATATTATTTATTAGGTTTAATGCAATTGTAGTAAGAAAAAAGGTTTATTAAATACTGTAGCATGCCAGGATTGGGTCACTCTGCGAGGCATTGTAGTCATGCTCTCCCAATGACAATCAATAAATGGTATGATATCTTTATCCTTGTGAAAGAGAGTTCTCTGTTCATTCTCCTTTTGATACATCTGCAGCAGGTTTGCAATTGCTGTTATACACATCTGAGGAAATGCTGGAATATCAAATAGAAGCAGTATGATTAATTAAAATATATCTTATTAGAAAATATTTTATTTCATATATATATATATATATATTGTAGTTAATACTCACGCGCCTGATTTTTTTTAAAGCTCTCTAAGCCAGTCGGTGAACAATTCTTACACATGAATATATAGTTCATCATAAAAGGTACAAGTTTGCCCAATTGATATCCAATACAAGATTCATGAAACCAACGAGAACAACTAGCGCAAAGTAGTTCTACAATATTTAAATTCCTTTCCTTGTTGCTACAAAATGTCCATAATAAATCACAAAATATTACAAAGAAATAGTCGCATAACATATTACTAATAAGATTTACAATTACCAGTAACAATTTCCATTTTCATTGTTACTGCTTTGTCCAACGAGTCTTTCTGCTGGTTCATCTTGTTTAGACTTATATTTGTTCTTATCATCAAGCTTTAATTTTACCTTTTCTTCAATTGCTTCTGTTGGTTCAAGCTTATCACTTGGACTAAATTATATATCTTTAATTACTAATTTATTATAATTTTAATAATAGCTTATAATAACATTAATTTTTTACAAAATTATTTGTATAGTTTATTTTATCAGATTTTTAAAAAATTATTATATTTATTCTATATTTTTAAAATTTTTACAGATTTAAATTTTTTTCCTCCCTCTCATCTGAATTTTAAAATTTAACTTTTATTATACATTTCATTTTATATTTTTTTACATATTGGTTCAGTTATTAATATGCTTGCATTCTTAGATTTTTGTTGAATTGACAATATTGAAAATAGATCATTTTATATTTACATACAAATCTTCCTTGTGAATTTTTGAATAAAAATATTTTTATTTCTCGGAGTTTTGAATTGTTTATCAACAATTAAATCAGAATAATGAAACATAACCTTAATTTATGTTTAACACATCACATATCATACATATATACATATATATATATGATACATATGATATATATGTATAATATTCTATAATCATGCATCTGTTATATCTGTATCAAACATAAATTAAGGTTATGTTTCAATATTCTGGTTTAATTGTTGAACAATTGAAAAATATAAAAATATTTTAATTCAAGAATTCACAAGGGAAAGATTTGTATGCAAATATAAAATAGTCTATTTTAAATATTGACAGTTCAAAAAACTAAAAATCTGAGAATGAAAGAATATTAATAATTGAATCAATGTATAAAAAATATAAAATGAAATGTAAATAATAAAAGTTAGATTTTAAAATTCAGATAGGGGGGGGGGGTTTAAAAAATGTAAATGTGTAAAAATTTTAAAAATGTAAAATGAATATATTTTTTTTATAAATTTGAAAGAACAAACTATACAATATATATGTATATATATAAACAATGACATCCAGGACGTTACCTGCCGTTCTTTTCTTCTGCCATTGTCTTACAGATGTTTTTCTTTTATTTTTGTTGGAGTCCACTATAAGCAATCATGAATACAGTACTCGAGTACTATAGTTGATATGACGATGAAATACGATGTAATTATAAATTGTAATAAAATCCCAGTGGTAGCATTGCAATTCCAGCCGGTTTTCACATTGCGCATACGCGGCATCAATCATAGACTTGACATAGATGAGACACTCGCATCGAAGACTGAGATTAAAGCGAAATTGAAATTGACCAATCAGGACAAGGAAATTTTAGTTCCTTTTGTTCTTATTGGCCGTAAGTACACTAGGGTTTGCGGTTCAGTTGCAGTTGAAATTGAATCAGAGTAGCCGGCCGATAAATTGCTTTGTTCTGATTGGTCAATTTCAACCGTAACCGACTCGCAAACCCTAGTGTACTTACGGCCAATCAAAACAAAAGGAACTAAAATTTCTTTGTCCTGATTGGTCCAATTTCAATTTTCGCTTCGATCTAAATCTTTGATGCGAATGTCTCATCTATGTCAAGTCTATGATTGATTACGGTTTAACACGAATTTTCTTGAGAAGAAGCGATGAGTGATGACTTGAAAAGGTCGCTGTACGCTAGCGTCCTCTCAGAAATATTGTGGATAGAGTAATCAAAACAGGAACTGAAAGAAAGAATGGTAAAATAATTATTAATTAATAATTAATGATTAATAGTTAACCAGAAAAAATGCATTATTCGGAAAGACGTACCCTTGCTTCAGAATACACACAAGTACAAAAATTATTGAAATAATTGTAGGTATATATCGAGTATCCTATTATATTTTAATCAAAACTTTTTCGCAATAATTACTCAAATATCAATTTAATTTCTTAATTTAGCTTGCTTTTATATTAAATTAGATTATTTCCATGTCAATTTAGTTCAATTTCAGCTTTTAATCTACGTCGTATCTTGCCCCAACTTTCTCTAGAAATATATTTTTATACTTTAAATGTAATTTATATTTGATTAATACACAAATTTATTCAATGCACGGTAGAATTTTAAATAACATACGTACGCATACACGCATACATCTGGAAACATGTTGGGGCAAATTTAGTATGCAATCATGTGGCGTAAAAGGGCCGTGCAGGTTCACACTTTCGAGATACATGAATGGCAGACCCTTCATTACACGAACGAGACGTGAGAGAGAATGTAGCCCCTTAGGCTATCCCTGAAGATACGCCAAGTAAATTATACTTTATACTTACATCATATCAGGCGAAAAATCGCCTCGTAATTTCACGTCCTAGCTCCTATCAAGATCAAAATCTGCAGGTCGAGAAATTTTTTATCCTTTAATGAAATATACATTTTTTTAAGTAAGTTATCTGACTAGCGACATAAAGTTATTTTATTAATTTTAAGTAAGTTGTTTAAGTAAAAAAAATTATAGATTATGAATAAGAATTACGTAATATCAATAATTTGAAAACGTTTGTTATCACAAAAGATTATTTATCGTTGAAAAATTATGTTTTTAAAAAATAAAAAGTATTGGCTAATAAAAGTATTGTATAATAAAATTTTGCTTTAACTCTAACAATGAACGACGTAACAGCCGCGAAAATTCTTGATCACAATTATGATCCATAATAAAATTCTTTATATATCTCATAGAATAAAATTTTATGCTACATTTTAATTTTATTGTATTTTTAAAAAAATGTTGCTTATATATAATAAAAATTAATCGTCGCCGGACGAAAGATCCCCCATGTAAAAAGAGTTCGGTTTTTCTATCGTTCTCATTCGGTCTCGCTCGTCATCGATTCGTTACACGTGGCCAATATTTCACGATGCTCAACTCAAATACAATACTATAAAATCCGAACGTGAAACGCAAAAATATATATTGGTATAATTTTAAAAAATATATAAAATAGAGCACAAGTGTAATAAGAAATCATATCTTTGAATAAAATTAATTCGCTTTTATAAAATTTAAAGAAATGATCTATTTGCAGAGAAATTGAAATCTGGGATCAAAAACCAAAATTTTATTATAATGAAATGTTTATAAAATTATTTCTTTTCATTATATCATTTTTATATAAAAAAAATTAAAATATATATTTAAAAAAAAATATTTATTAAAAGGTATTGATGGAGAGATTCTTTTCTTGATGATCTTTGCAGTTTCATTTCTTTTTATTCTATTTTTATTTCTATCTTATTTTACGTCTATAGTTTTTATGTTGTGTTTCTAGCCTGTTAGAGAACAAAGATAGCGACGCGCGAACTGAAAACTACTACAAGATCTCTAAAAAGTTGAGTGCCGCTATAGATATTATATGATGGCGCGGGAACCACAGGGATAAGACAAACGGACCCGCCAAGCAAATCAAATCTTCCCTTCACGGCTTAAAATGATCATCTAAAAAGCCACCTCATCGTACCTTCAATTTTCCCCTTTTCTTATTCCTCTTTCTTGCATCATGTTCTCGGGCGTCGTTATTTTCGTTATTATTAATAAATTTCATTTTCGTTTTGTTTATATTCCATGAGAAATCTTTGTCTTATTTGTTGAATTTTCCAGAATTTTCTAATGGATTCAGATAAGAGTGAAAATATCTTGTACTCTTACATCCGTGATCCTAAGAAGCGAGAGAACTCAAACAAATCAAGCACTTCAAATACGAGATGTATGGAAACTTATGTGAAACATGCACCTCAAAAGGGATTAAAACACTATTGTGTTTCATCTTTACATAATTCACATTGTATCCTCGGTGCTAAAAAGAGGTATAAAATTTGAAAATATTGTAATTTAATGTAAAATATTTTGAAAATTATAAACGGACTTTTCACTTCATTTTTCGAGAATTTTTCTGTTATAGTATTTTTAGTCATGAATTTTGAAACACTTTGTATAATATATTGTATATATTACATTTTTTCTTTTGTTCTCTTTCTTTTTCTATTATTGATTTTTTATTCAAAGACTATTATCTATAATATATTCAAGAAATTATAAACGTAATTTAATATGAGAATTAAAAAAAGCATGCTATAATTATTAAAAAATTATTTTTTCCAAACAAAGGGAGAAAGAGAAAAAAATTATCATGCATCGATTCTAAACATTATTCTGCAAAAAGATATTTTAATTTATATTGTATCAAGTAAATTTGTTTTTCTTATAAAAATATCAGAAAATTGCGCTTGTTGAAAATGAAAATTGCACACATTATAGAATTCCATTATTTTATCAGCACATTATATAGTTTTATATATGTTTCAGGTAAAAGTTTCTCAAAAAAATTTCTTATTTCTATATATGCTAATAAAAATTAAAGTAATACTATATATATAATTTTTAAATATATCTTTTTGCATTAATTTTTTTCATTTTAATTGAATTTTACTTAAATTTTTATTTTTTTATATACACATATATATATATATATATATATATATATATATATATATATATAATATAATATAAGCAAGCACTTAAAAATTTTTTATTCGCATTTCTAAGGAAGCGGCAAAAATTTATCATCGAGGTAATCTAGCATCCGGCGGTTTCTTTGTTCCTAATTATGCTTGCGGGATCGGTCCTATAATCCTCGGCAGTTGGGCCTGGAGATAATAGGACCCGCAGTGACGGCAAAAAGTGGAAGGTGCAGAAGAACGCACGGCCGAACGTGCGCGGAATCGCCCGAATGCGTGCGTCCACATTGCTTATCCACCAGTATCCGTCAGTCAGTCGGCTGCCGACCATTGATGCGGGTGAGTGTATTTGGCGGTGTATTGTGTTACACGGAAATGTGAGTCTTTATTATCACGTGAGTGTTGATCGCGGACAAATTTTATATATATATATATATATATATATATATATATATGTATATATGTATGTGTAGGTGTGAATATATCATTATTATTTACGCATATTGTGCAAAATAAGATGTGAATGTCATCAACATTAAAAATGATATTGCCTATTGTGATGCTTATTCTGTCGGCAATATTGGGTCTGGTCCAAGGATGGGGCATCAATCACGGACATGCCGGCACCGGCCCAAAATGCGAAAAACTTAGCGTATCTTTTTGTCGGGGACTACGTTATAATTTGACGGCGATGCCGAATTTTATGGGCCATGAGGATCAACGACAAGCTGAACGAGGAGTATGTTATAATTTTAATTCTTAAAATATTATTTTTTTCTTCTCTCTGGGAATGTATTAAAAAGACTAAAAAACATTTATTTTTTGATTTTTACTTTTATGCCATAAACACGATAAAGATGTAGATAGATGTAGATAGATAACTTATCGAAATATAAAAAATTGCCGCTTACTCTGAAAGACTCAATTTGCAAAGTTATTGTAAATAAAAATTAAAATTCATTCGTTATTAAAATAGTAGATAATTCAGATAGTTCTTTTCATAAACTTTAATTTCTCACTATCGCTTTATTAATTTATAATTTATTTCTTAACAACTAAAAAAAATAATGATTAAAACATATATAATGACCTGATTTAAAAAAAAATATTAATCAGAATCATGTAGAACAGCTTTCAAAAACGGTAAAAAATTTCTCAATTCTCCTCTTTTCTTCTAATAATGCATGCAGATATGCATTTATCTAAATAAATGTTTATTTAATTATTTATTTATGAAAATTATATCTATATTATTCATTATTTATTATATTATCCATTTATTATATTTACAATATTCCGTACATATATATGCGGAATATTAAGTTAAAAAAATATTCTAAATTATAGATTTTTAAAATTATTTATTAAACAATTGATGTATCTCTCACATTCTTATATTACTCGATATTATTATTCTTATTATCATAATATAATTTCTTTAAATTGTAATCCTTTTTTTCTTTTCTTTTTTTTTTGAAACTTTCATATTGTACATCATGTACATCAATATATTTTAATTGATTCAATGAATTTTTCATTGTCACAGTGAAATGATCACGCGAAGAAAAAATTACTCGTATGCTTCAGGCTTTAACGCATACGCTTGTATACACATACACATACACACACACATATACATACATTCGTATATGAGGGAAAGAAAGGTATTTATAGTTGTGGAGAGGGGGGGTTTACTCTCGCTCGCTCGCAGTTTTATTATCGTAATAACGTTAAGGCGGCTTCCTTTGAAGTCGCCCGAAGCGAGATAGCTCTGACGAGCAAACTGCGTATTTTTATAACAGCTACGTTCCCCCGTGTGCACGTATGCGTGGAAGCGAGTGCGTGCGTATATGGGAACATTGGCGGATGTGGATTTGATATGCGCTTTTTATGGATGAACTCTTTCGAGAAGTCGGAAATAATGATGATAAATTGTAGAGAGAATGTGAAAAATTTTTAATTTTAAATTGGTAAATCTTTTAGTGCCAATATACAATGTAAATTGATATAAATAAAATTAAAAGATTTATCAAACAAAGATAATATATATCTGCAATATAAATTTTAATATACTTTTATAAATAAACTTTAATAATAAAATGTCAAAAAGTTAACTTTAGATAGAAAAACTTTAATAGAATTCTAATGGCTTGATATAGATTTGAAAAATTATATAACTAATGGCGAAAATTACGAAAGCTAAGAATATACTTTTTTGGGCGGATAGAAAAAAAATTTTTAAAGAAAATTAACAATTCAAATTAAATAATTATTTTTAAGGATGTATCTCTTTAATCCTATGCGTATATTTATAAAAATTATAATAATTTTTTAATGCCGATTTATATATAATTAATTATTGAATTGATTGAAGTTTCAGGAATCCACTTTTTTCATTATACCATTAAGTCATTATACCATTCAAAAATTAAAAAAAATGTTTCTATTTTAAAATATCGTTATTAATTTATAATAGCATTATTTATATTATTTCAAAACATTCCAAGAGTTTATCTTTTGAAAGTGAATGCTTTGAAAGCAGTAACATAATTTATTATTTTCATTTAAAAATGAACACGAAAAAAATTTAATTTTATTTCCAAAAATACATTCAATTGCATTTTCGCACAATAAGTATCCCTTGGCTTGACATCCCTTGTCGTGTCCCATGCGTTGATACGCATAAATATTAAGTCTCACAAAGAGTTTCGCTGACTCGATCAAGGTAGAATGCGCACAGTGTAAAGACAAAAGCGGGAAAAAAAGAATGGATAGAAGTAAGTTACAATAAGAAATAAGTCGGTCTCGTCCGTCTGTTCTCTCCTGCGTTTCTTCTTCTATCTGCGAATTGTCCGTCAAGCCGCTTTGAAAATTCTTTGAAGGGACCATATAAATGGGATATAATACTTGTTTCCTACTCCTTTTTCTGGTCATTCCCGAAAAAAGAAAAATGAGATAATGAACGAACCGGTCTATATACGCACATCTTAGCATCGCTCTTTCGTTTTTGCGAACACGAGATATGAGGGGAAATCTAAAATTATAAAAAAATAATTGCACGAACATGTATTAAATAATTTCGATAAATTTATTTATTATTTATTCGTAAATCAGAAAAAAATTAGAAAAATTATTTTTATATTTTTACAATTGTTAGAGATTGCTGTGTGTGATTATCTTATCATATAACTATTTTATAATCTAATTACAAGAGTGCTGCGAAAGAGAATTTCAATTGAATTAAAATTGATAAATATGGTCAACAAATCAGTTTTAAAATATATTGTAAGTTTCGATGAAATTGAAATATCCAACTTTTGTTTGAATTTAACTGTTTCATCTTATTATTAATCAATAATATATATATATATATATATATATATATATATATATATATAAATTTATACAAAACAAAGTACTAATTATTTCTTTTCCTTTTTTACTGTAAAGATTAAAGCAGCTTATATACATTAATTATACCAATTTTTTTCGCTATATCAATTTCTGATATATGTTTATCATGCGAAAAGAAGTGAAAACGATTTTGTGCGATTTCCAGATAGGGCTTTTCTCTGAAATGTTCTTGGCTGGGTCCAATCCTTGATTGGTGAGAAGAGAAGCACGATACACGGTTGAGATGAGAGGCTTCGGCGTTACGGGTTACCACGTAATTTCATGAGGCTATAATTTGGGGCGCATCGTGGAAGAGGAGAACATCGGGCCTGTGTGTTCGTAATGGGCAAATCTAGGGGGAGGGGAAAGGAGGAAGAAAGCGGCTTTGGTGGGCCGCAGCGACGTGCGAGGATTCATTAGGATCGAGGCGGGAAGAATGGGCGGGATAATTACCCCCAATGCCCATCGCTCGTTATATTTCATAGAAGCAAGTCTCCTCTCCGCTTCCTTAGATGCATTATCTTCCCTTCATCCCTCTCAGCGTAGGCTTTGTGTCCTGTGTTTATAAGATGAAAGGAAGAGATGCCTACGAAAAAATCCCTTTCTAAAAAACATTCGCCAGGTATACAAAAAAGAATCCGACTTTATATATGGATAAGTAGAAATTTAAAAAATAAAAACTGGTCAAGCAACTATTGAAAAATTTATTTTTTTCTTTATTATATATGAAATGCGTATAATGCAATTAGTCAAATAATTAATGCAATAACAAAAACAATTTAAAACATAATGACAGAAAAATTTCGGATGGAAAAAGCGATAGAATAAACATAGATAGTACAACAAAATAATATAATTAATAATGTAAAGATAATAAACATAGATGATGTAACAAAATAATATAAATATTATAATATAATTAATAATGTAAAAATAATATAATTAATAATGTAAAAATAATATAATTAAATAAAATAATATAATAATATAATTAATAATGTAAAAATAATATAATTAATAATCTAAAAATAATATAGTAGATAATGGTATAAACTTATTATTGGTCACAGTTGCACGTGCGCGCGATTTGTCACTTTGACATGTATGGGGCATCGCACACATATTACATATCTTTTTCTCTCACGATCGATTTAGTTTAAGTATAGAACATTTCCCAAAGTTAATATTAAAATTAAAATTAAAATAGTATTAAAATTAAAATTATTCATGTTCTTTTAATCAAATTCCCAGACTACAATTAATTTATTAGTCTTGATTGATTTAATTTATTAATCTTAATTAATTGAATTAATCAAGTGGTTAATCCTTAATTTAAAGTGATATCGTATATTCACAGCTGACGACTTTCATGCCACTGGTCCATTACAATTGTTCGAGACATCTCAGGCTTTTCTTATGTGCCGTCTTCGCCCCGGTTTGCTCGGAGCATGTGGCAATGCAGATACCGGCGTGCAAGTCCCTCTGTCTTTCCGTAAGAAGAGACTGCGAGCCGGCTTTAACCAGTCTCACGTTGCCGTGGCCACACATGTTGGATTGCGATCGTTTCCTCGATCGTGGTAGTAAGTATTCATCATGTGGTAGTAAAGTATTCATCATGTAGTTAAATTAATATGTACCGAAATTTAATATTACTCAAATTAATCTTCAATTTTAAATAATAATAATAAATTAAAACAAAAAGATTAGAAACTTTACATCTCTCTTGAAACATTTTTAAACACATGCACATATATAATATGGTACATATATAATACATGGAATCTATATATACATGGAATATTTGAGATATTTTGAAGAAAAATCTTTTTTAAGAAAAAAGAAGAATTATATAATTAATTTATAATTATATTCTAAATGACATTTTGATTAAGTGTGTGTGTGTGTGTGTGTGTGTTTATATATATATATATATATATATATATATATATATATAATATGTATATAGGATGTCTGGAAAATCGCCCGTAGTACTTCAGAAAGTGATTCGAAAAAGAAGAAAAAAATGTAATTATATAAACATAAATGTAATTATATAATTCCAGAAATAAGTCGTTTCCGAGTTATAGCCACTTTTATGTTAAAAAAATTGCGTAATTTATTATAGTCTGTTTTGCATCCCTCCTTTTTAAATTTATTTTGAATTTTAAATTCAAATTTTAAATTTAAATTTTTAAATTCGAATTTTTAAATTCAAATTTTTAAATTTTAAATTCAAATTTTTAAATTCGAATTTTTAAATTCAAATTTTTAAATTTAAATTTTTAAATTTTAAATTCAAATTTTTAAATTCAAATTTTTAAATTCAAATTTTCAAATTTTTAAATTCAAATTTTTAAATTTTAAATTCAAATTTTTAAATTCAAATTTTTAAATTCGAATTTTTAAATTCGAATTTTTAAATTTAAATTTTAAAATTTAAAATTTAAATTTAAATTTTTAAGGTTTCCAGACATCCTATATGTGTATGTATATATATATATATATATATATATATATATATATACAGCATATATATATATATAATATATGGGGAAAGAAATGTAATATTAAAATCATATATTATATATAAAAATATATAATCTAATAATTAAATATATATATATATATATATTTAATTATTAGATTATATATTTTTATATATAATATATGATTTTAATATTACATTTCTTTTCCCTCTAATTAATACTCTTATATTATAGGAAACACATTGTGCGTGCAACCACCAGATGAAACATTAGATGATGCTAAATCATCAGCTTTACCTACTGTTCAATGGCCAGCGATGCATGAAGAACCACTGCAGACCACACGAATACAACAACATCAACAGCAACAACATCAATGTCCACCTCATTTTGTACAAATACCTGATGTCGAAACGGTTAGAATAAGTGCATGACTAGATGAGAAGATAAATAGATTAGAATAAAGATAATGAAAAAATATATTTTTTTACAATGTTTTATTTTAGATCTTTTGTGCACCTCGTTGCGGTACTGATGCATATTATCGCGCGGAAGATAAGAGATTTGCTGAGCGTTGGATGACTGGTTGGGCGTGGTTATGTTTTTTGTCAACACTCTTTACTTTGTTAACCTTCTGGGTTGAGCCATCCAGATTTCGTTATCCTGAAAGACCGATAGTTTTCTTGGCGCTTTGCTATAATCTTCTTTCTGTGGCTTATATCATTCGGGGGGCAGTTGGCGGTGAAAACATCAGCTGCGTTAGTCAGATTGATGGGCCAAGTTATGTTCCAGTAAGTAAATAGATTTCTTTTTCCAATAAATAAATATATATAATAAAATTTTTTCTACTGTTATATTTGTTGATATTTATTTATGAATAGATTCGCGATGCCTTGAAGAATATTCCCTGTACTATTTGGTGGATAGTCAGGTATTATTTAGGATTAGCTAGTAACGCATGGTGGGCAATCCTATGTGGTTGCTGGCTTCTGAGTGCCAAGAATGAGTGGAGCAGCGAAGCTCTTCACAATATTGCACCTTATCTTCACGCAGCTGCATGGATTCTTCCAATACTCTTCACAGGAGGTAAAAATTTTTCGTAGTCATATTTTTTATACACTATATATATATATATATTGATTTCTATTCTTTTTGAGCTATAAGTTTTTAATATCTTGACAATTCATAAATGTTAAAAATCTCTTTTTGTATATATATCATTATTAAATGTTTAAAAAATTATATTTTTTGAATATATTATGTGGTAATTTCTCTACAAATATGTAAATATATATCTTTCTCTATACAGGAGGTTTGCTGTCGCACAATGTGGTGGCCGATGAATTAACTGGATTGTGCCAGATCTCTGACGAATCGGCATTATGGTTGGAAGTGCTACCGCATACTCTGTTGCTGTTTTTGGGTTGTATATTTGGTGGTATCGCTGGAAACGCTTTGATCCGTGTGCGAAAGGCCGTGCGTTGTGCCGGACGCAGCGCAACAAAGCTGGAACGTCTAATGACACGATTAGGCATATTTGCATTGTTATATGCATTACCAGCACTGGGCGGTCTTGCCTGCGTACTGCACGAGGCTTCGGTGAAGCCGCGATGGCGGAAACTGGCACTGCTTGCCGCCTTGGATTGCCGTACGACTCAGAATTGCGCTCCAGGTCCGATCTATCGAGCCGCCGGTCTCGAAATTACCCTTCTCAGACTCTTCTTGTCTCTCATAACTGGTGTCACTTCTGGCATGTGGGTATGGTCTAATAAGACATGCCGCGCCTGGAGCAAATTACTTAGCGCACCCAGTAAGCCTATTAAGATGCAGAAATCTTTTCAAAGCTTTAAACATGACGGCACTGCTGCTTAAGAACTTTCAAGTTCGATCTCCAAAACTTATTCTAATTAATTTAGGCGAGATAAAGGCGAGATAAAGATCTAGAGAACGTCTCGCGAAGGAATCTGAAAATGTAAATAAAAATTCTAACTTTACACATATGTTTTGGAGTCTTTTCTAGAGATGTTTCTATAGTATTAGTTTATAAAAAAGATAGTTTTACAAGATAGATTTTATATATGAAATTAGAGAAAGCAGTAATTTATATTATTGTGATTTTATTTATCTTGAAAATTATAAAAATAGTTATAATATGTAAAATAATCGATAAAAATGATTACCTTTTTATATGTATATATGTATTGTGTATATATTGTAAAAATAATGTATATTCGTTTTATAATATGTAAAAATTTTTACAACTTTGAAAAAGGAACAATTGATTTTAAAAGTTTTAAAAATAAGCATTTTTGTGTATGTTTCTCAAAGCAAGTATATATATATAAATTTCAGACCTGTATTTAAAAATTTAATCGTATTTAATAATTTAAACATTTTCTTATAGAATATTTGAAAAAAATATTTTTAAAGTATATATAATTCATATTTATTCTTTTTAAAGTATAATTATTCTGAACCTTAGTAATATCAAAGATTATATTTTTTAATTCATATAATTTTAGTAAAATTGCCTCATTATTTTTATTGAAATGTCTTTATGTTCTAATTATTTTAGTTTCATAGTCGTGATTCTTCTCTTCATTTCCTATTTAATTTTAATTTAGTAAATGTAAATATTTGCAGCTTCTTTAAAGCCATTTGTTATAAATTTTAGTATAAGTTCAACAACCCGAACTTTATAATTTTATAAATAATTCTGTTTCCCGCCTAAATATCATTCGCTCATGCCCAGCGCGTGGACTACACTAGTGTCCCTAGGGATACCACTAGGAAGCTGAGACAGCCCATGCGCGCATAAAATGCGCATGAAGTAAAATGGAATGATCTCAGATTCAGTGGACTCAATCGTAGCATTCGAACGTGATTGGTTCCTACTTTCAGATCCGACCAATCAGCGTCGAATTACATCGGAAAATCTAGTAATATTGCCAACTGTTAAGTCCACTGTGGCCATAAAAAGATCCCCTCCTTTCTTTTGCTCGTTCTGACTGCAGCGCACTATTCCTACGCCGTGTAATCCACTTTCACAATTGGATTTATTTTCATTTTACACACTTTAATTTCCGCCTAATTTGACAGCACAAAGTACTTAAGCGCTAAATTAATGAATCGCGTTGTGTAAATTCACGAAAATCCTCAAAATCAAGCATATTTTGCGACTCAATTGCGGAACTACTTCGTGCATCAACGCGGAGGGTTACACTTTGGAAATCGCTCCGCAGCTATATAACGCCCTTCCACTTTCTATTCATCTTCATTTCCCATTGAGTCACACCACGGAGTATTACTCTCAGGTACAGGGAACGCATTTTATTTGTGCACGAAGTAAGGACGACCACTGAGAAGGTACAAAGAACGCATTTTATTTGTGTACCTTAGAAGTAAGGACGACCACCGAGAGACACAAAGAAGAATATGAAATCTTCGAGCAAGAGAATTATCGATACGTACGAGCTAGATACAGGTTAGTGCATTAATAATTAATCAATACTTTGTTGAACAATCGCGCAACTAGTAAAAGTGGTTCTTGATTGCAGAAGAACAAAGAGATAAAATGGAGCAGAGAAAGAGAGATGGTCAAAAACGACGTCGGAAAATTGAAGGGGGACGTCGGGAGATCGAACGAATGCAGTACCTGGCCGATTGGATTGACAGTGTGCGTGAGAAGAAGCTGCAATTCAAAAGGAAATATAAATTACGAATGACGGCCATGCTGACTCGCACTTTGCGCAGCATGGAATATGAATACCGAGTTCAAGAGATATCGGGAATACATCGTCAGCCTCTCAAGTGTGTGGAGAATGTGGGAATTGTACATAATCGTAATTTGTACAATGCAGCTGAACGTCGGGATATAGAATATCAGCAACTTATCTCGAAAAGGAATAATGTTTGGCAGGGATCTTTGTGTGAGGATCTTAGCAGCTTGGATGACTTCCTGCAGCAACTTGGACAGGTAAAGTCAGTTGTGCAACGATAATTAGATTTGAAAAACTTATAGTCTTTCCAATTATTAAAGCAAGTGACATCTATGGAGTCTATGGAAGAGAAGTCAGAATATTTCTTTCAAAGCTAATTTATTGATCTGGACTTGTTATCGTATATGAAGTGGAAAGACTTTTGAATATTGCTCATACTGTTGTAATTTCTAATGGGTAATCTTTCACAACAACTCAAGGTAAATTTGGTTGTGCAGCAATGATTAGATTTAAAAAACTTATGGCTTTTCCAATCATTGCTGAAGATATCTATTGAGTCTATGGAGTAAAGAAGCCCAGTCCTTTTCAAAACTAATTTTTTGATCCAGACTCATCGTTGGTTACAACGGGGCCTTTGGCAATTGCTCATGCAACTATATTTCTAATCTAAATAACTTTCCTATAACAACTCGAGGAAGGGAAAAGGAAAGTCAATATAATGACCAGAACAAAAAAAACTTATGACTTTTCCAATTATTATTGATGGAAGGTATCTAGAATCTATGAAGTAAAGAAGTTCAATCTTTTTTCAAATGCAATATTTTGATTCAGACTCGTCATCAAATTTTTCGAAGATCTTTTATTTCTTCTCTTACTCAAAGAAACAATGGAGATTTTTACTCATGTGCCAAGAAAAAAGTCTATTGCAATATTAACAGCATCAATATATTTTGCTTAGAGAAGACTTGATGAAATGTCTTTGTGATCAAATAGATATATTTGATACGTGACGATCAAACGAATATGTTCCTACTTTTATTATTAATGAGTAAGAAAAATCTATAATAGATGCACTATATGTAATATAATACTGAGGACACTGCTGAACCTTTTTAAGAAGAAGAAGAAGAAATCTAGAAAGAGCAACAAGAAGACTACAAAAGTTTTTAGAGGAATCTTTTGAGCCATGCATAGGCAGCATTGTCACAATTTTTACAATTTGATACTTATCCTAGTATATATCTAGGTATTTTTTACTTACAGTCTCACCATTTGAGATGACAATGAATGTACATGGACAGAAAAAGAAGAGAGTTAAAAAGAGCTAAAAAGAGAGAAAAAATAGTTACTATAATACAGATGCTGGCCTTGTCTCAGGTTTTACGTTCATGTATTTTGGCCCTTGTAAGTCTGTTAGTCATATTTTAGTTGATAAACCATCAAAACCAAAGTACCTTGACTTACTTGGTGCTTGTCCTGTAGCAATATGGTACATATTTCGTATAATAATATGTTACATAATTATTTATATTTTAGATATAAAATACTCTTACAGGGATTAGAAAAGTAAAATTTTTATATTTAAAAATATTTTTAAACTTTTTATAAATTTGTAAAAAATAAGTACATTGTAAGACTTTTATACTATAACTTTTTACCTGTGTTTAGTATTTAGCTTTTTTTTATTCTGAATGATATGATAGATTAAATAGTATAAAAAGATTAGATAAAAAAAATTAACTAACAATTAATTGAAAATTGTGGTTTTTATTTTCTTAAAACTGATTGCAAAATTTATGTATTATTTGCAACTTTGCAAGACTTTAACCATATGTGTATATTTTCATATATTTTTTAAATAGTTTATGCTGTTTAGGAATAATAATGAAGGATCTCGCAATTATAAACCGTACCAAATGTTATTGTGATACGTTATATCGAATTTACTTGTAAGTGATGATCTGCGATATAGTCTAAAAGAGGTCGTTATGCCGAATAAAATAAATACATTTTATAAATAACAGAGTAAAATATTTTTTTTTTTTAATGTTTCTTACCAAATGTTATTAATACCAACAATCCTTTTCAGTCTGGCATTCCAGAAAACAAACATCCTAGAAAACACATCTTATTGGGCAAGAGATATTGGCTCTTCACATAAAGATGACATCGTGGTCGTCATCGTTGGTGGCGATTTAGAAAACATTTAGATTGCCATAAGCGAGAAAAAAATGAACTAATAGAAATGAGAGAAGTAAAATATATTTATAATTTAATAGAGAAGAAGGGAGAGAAAAAGTTTTTATTTCTAGAAACTGGTTCAACAAACTCGACACACAAGCGAAATTATCTTTGAATCATCGTGATAATGATCTCGTCTGCGTGATGACTCCGATGATTGTAGATGATATTCATCTGGTGAGCTCCCGTTTTTCCGAATCAGTTATGCGTTTCCCTAAGTCGAGAATTCGATTTTCATTGAGTAATATAGGATATAATGGTCTTCAAATGTGGAAACACAGTTGTATTAATCCAAAGGTTACAGGTATATTTTAAATAAGATAATTTACAAGCATGTAAAACTATTTGAGAGTTGTCAAAAATTTTTTTTTACTTGGTATGTAAAATGTGCTTGTCTAATGTTGTATAATAGGCCTATTCTTTTTAACTGAATTGGCTACATTATGGATACTTTCCGATTCACGCATGATGCGCATGAAATGACAGAAAATGTATAGTTCATGTCATGCATATTATTTGTTACTTCATGCGCATCATGCGTGAATCGGAAAGCACTCTATAGTTCAAAGTTTATCTTTTTCTTTCCAATGTGGAATAAGAGGGATAAACTCTAGCGCAGCCAGTTCAACTAAAAAGAACAGATCTCTGTATTCATACATCTACTATGTTCATAGATCCACATCATCTTGATCATATTGAGACTATAATTAAAATAGGATACCTATATACACACACACATATATATATATATATATATATATATATATATATTATATATATATAGATATATATGTGTGTGTGTGTGTGTGTGTGTATATATGTATGTATGTTTTAAAGTTTTAAATCTTTTAAAAATATAAGAATGATCACACAATAGATGCTGGAGATTTTTATTAAATGAAGGACACATGAATGTATCGATATGAAGAAAGTATATGCACAAGAACACATTTTGTAGAATAAAAGAAGAAAATTTTTTTAGAATATAATTTAAAGTTTGTGTTATATAAAACATCAAGAAATTAGTCTCATATCTTGGGTGAAGGTAACAAGGCGTATATCTTTACTTTTAGATATCTTAAAATAGGTACAAATGTGTTGGAAATTTCAAAATAATGAGTAAAAAGCTCCAAAATCATTTTTATTCATGAATTTATGAATTTATAGATTTTTGTATTTTTCTGCAATATTTACGTCTTAGGAATTTAAAGCTGGAGGGAAGAGGTTATTAATCTTGCAAGATATTCGAAATGTTTCAATTAAGAAACTGAGACTCTTTATGTGGAAATTGTTTTTTTTTAATCTTGAAAAGCACATGTGGATTCTTAAAAATATTACGAAACCGATTGAGACTTTGACGACTTGCACTTTCTTGATGTCCTGTGAAGAGCAATTATATTTTTTCCCTTGCTACATCAAACAGGTTTGATATCATTCTCTTTTAATAAAACATCTTTTAGGAGAACTCTTTTTCCCGCAGCAGTCACTGCATTAAATAGATACTTTAGGTATGAATTAACCATATCTAACATTTTACCTGGAGAAGTTTAGAGAAACATAAACATCAATCATATATCATGATCTGTTGGCATTCGAATTATCGTTGGTCTTCAAAATATTGATTAGGGTCAAAATATGGATTTGGTTTTCGATGTTTCCTGTGTTGGTTGTTTTCGAATTTTAAGGTTTCTTCTGCAGGGATGCTTTTATATTATCTATAGTTTATTGTCACAATTGAAAAGTTCTTTGTCAACTGAGATTTTACTGCAGAGGAGGATTATTGTGGATTTTTACTGCAAAATGATTTATTGTAAAACTTGCATGGGCTCAATTTTTTTCAACAAGGTCATTGCAAAGTATGAAGCGTTCCAAAAAAAGGTATGCTTTTTTTTAAACAAGATGTATAATTATTTAATCAATTAAATATTCACATTAAAAAATCTAAATTTTTTTACATTTTTTTTGCAGGTTTATTTCTCTAAGTCCTATATATGAATGAAAAATTGTTTATTGCATTATCTAGGGGAACGTAGAATTTAAAAGAATCGTTATTAAAAGATGCAAAGGATTCTTATAAAATCAATGGAATTATGGCGTTATAGAGTATTCATTCTAAGGCATCATTTCAAAAGTGATTTATGAAATATAATTGAAAAACAGGATTATAATAGGATTTCACAGAAGAAAATTATTAAGAAATTTCACTGTTAAGACACCATGGATTTTAATAATTGAAGAGGATCACTATAATATTTCACTGTAAAAGACGATCATCGCGAAACTTCATCGGACAATTAGATCGTCATGGGACATTATCACAGAAGAGGATCACTGTAAGATTTCATGAGGGAATTGGATCATCGTGGGACTTGATCGGAGAAGTGGATTCTTTGGTTCGTTGTAGGATTTAATCGGAGAAGTGGATCATCGTAGGACTTCATTGGAGAAACGGATCGTCGTAGGATATTATCGCAGAAGAGGATCGTTGTAGGACTTAATCGGAGAAGTGGATTATCGTAGGACATTGTCGCAGAAGAGGATCATCATAGGACTCATCGGAGAAGCGGATCGTTGTAGGATATTATTGCAGAAGAGGATCGTCGTATGACTTCGTCGCAGAAGAGAATCACTGTAGGATATTATCACAGAAGAAGATCATCGTGGGACTTTATCGGAGAAGCGGATCGTCGTAGGATATTGTCGCAGAAGAGGATTACTGTAGGACTTCATCGTAGAAGAAGATCAGGACTTCATTACAGAAGAGGATCATTGTGGGACATTCATGAGGAAATTGAATCGTCGTGGGACTTCATCGGAGAAGTGGATCATCGTGGGACTTCATCGGAGAAGTGGATCATCGTGGGACTTCATTGGAGAAACGGATCGTCGTAGGATATTGTCGCAGAAGAGGATCGTTGTGGGACTTCCTCGCAGAAGAAGATTATTACAAGACTTCGTTGCAGAAGAGGATTACTGATCGTCGTAGGACTTTATCACAGAAGAGAATCATCATGGGATTTCATCGGAGAGATGGATCATCGTAGTACTTCATCGGAGAAGCGGATCGTCGTGGGACTTAATCGGAGAAGTGGATTATCGTAGGACATTGTCGCAGAAGAGGATCATCGTGGGACTTTATCGGAGAAGCGGATCGTCGTAGGATATTGTCGCAGAAGAGGATTACTGTAGGACTTCATCGTAGAAGATCAGGACTTTATTACAGAAGAGGATCATTGTGGGACATTCATGAGGGAATTGGATCGTCGTGGGACTTCATCGGAGAAGTGGATCATCGTGGGACTTGAACGGAGAAGTGGATTCTTTGGATCGTCGTAGGACATGATCGGAGAAGTGGATCATCATAGGACTTCGTCGCAGAAGAGGATTATTGTAGGACTTCGTCGCAGAAGAGGATTACTGTCGGACTTTATCGCAGAAGAGAATCATCATGGGACTTTATCAGAGAAGTGGATCGTCGTGGGACTTAATCGGAGAAGTGGATTATCGTAGGACATTGTCGGAGAAGAGGATCATCGTGGGACTTTATCGGAGAAGCGGATCGTCGTAGAATATTGTCGCAGAAGAGGATTACTGTCGGACTTTATCGCAGAAGAGAATCATCATGGGACTTCATCAGAGAAGTGGATCGTCGTGGGACTTAATCGGAGAAGTGGATTATCGTAGGGCATTGTCGGAGAAGAGGATCGTCGTAGGATATTGTTGCAGAAGAGGATCATCGTGGGACTTCATCGCAGAAGAAGATTATTACGAGACTTCATCGCAGAAGAGGATCACTGTAGGACTTTATCGCAGAAGATGATCAACGTGGGACTTCATCGGAAAACTGGATAGTCGTGGGATATGATTGGAGAAGTGGATTGTCGTAGGACATTGTCGCAGAAGAGGATCATCGTGGGACTTCGTCGCAGAAGAGGATCATTGTGGGACTTCATCGGAGAAGTGGATTCTTTGGATCGTCGTAGGACATGATCGGAGAAGTGGATCATCGTAGGACTTCGTCGCAGAAGAGGATTATTGTAGGACTTCATCGCAGAAGAGGATCACTGTAGGACTTTATCGCAGAAGATGATCAACGTGGGACTTTATCGGAAAACTGGATAGTCGTGGGATATGATTGGAGAAGTGGATTGTCGTAGGACATTGTCGCAGAAGAGGATCATCGTGGGACTTCGTCGCAGAAGAGGATCATTGTGGGACTTCATCGGAGAACTGGATCGTCGTAGGACTTTATCGCAGAAAATGATCATCGTGGAACTTCATCGGAAAACTGGATCGTCGTGGGATATGATTGGAGAAGTGGATTGTCGTAGGACATTGTCACAGAAGAGGATCATCGTGGGACTTCGTCGCAGAAGAGGATCACTATAAGACTTTATCAGAAAATGATCATCGACTCGGTTATCATGGAACTTTGTTATAGAACTGAATTATTGAATTTTATCAAAGATTTTTCTTTTAATTAAGATTTTTCTATTAATCTTTTGATTATTGTAGGATTAGAAGATAATTGTGAAAAAGATAATTTTGAAATTTTGTTGCAGAAAATTCCCATAAAACTTCATTTAAAAAATTAATCACTTTTAATCAAGATTTTATTGTAAAAAAGGATAATCATATCACTTATAGTATGAAACTTTATGACATTTCATCTTAGACATTGTGGATCTTCATAGTTTTATATTGTGGGATTTAGAGTTTAAATATCAAAAGACTTTGAATTTCTATATTATAGATCTTAAACAATGTAAAATCATTTTTTTTTTATCAATTTGAAAATTATTTTCAGCTACATTTTGAACATTGCAGAACATACGTTTTAATAATAGTTTCAATAACAAAGAACCGATAGTATGTCGAGGATCGTAATATATCAAAATAGGATCAAAGATGATTAAAGAGAGGTTTTTAGTGGATATAAGTTATATGGAATTTTGCTAGACAATTTACAGCCGATGAAAATATATAACTTTTTACGTCCTATAAAAAAAATCAAAATTATGTTAAAAGGAAATTTGAATCCTTCACATTGGGCTGACTTAATTTCCATAAAATTTGGTCTTTTATTATCAAGAAATTTGTATTATTAATATTGCAAAATTTTTCAAGAATTTATATTGGAATAAAAAATACAAAAATTTTTTTATATAAATGTTTTTACTAAATTTTATTTTAATTCTCCAATATTTTTTATTAATGAATTATTAGCATCTTTGTTATTTTGAAGTTATGAAATTTGTGTAATTACATGAATAATGAAGTTAATATAATGGAATTTGTAATTATATAAGTATAGATAAGTACAGAATTTTCTTAAGTTTAAATTGATACATATGTGTTTAATAATTTAATACCCTTTCACATATATTTGAAAAAAATAATGTCGCGTTATCACTAAATAATTACTGCTAATTACTACTTTTTTTTAAATATTTTTATTTATTATTTTTGTATTCATTCCATCAGATTTTCTTATGATAATTATTTTGAAGCAACCATTGTATTTACAACTATCTGATACAATTTTTATCGCTGCACTTTTTTATACTCTATGGTCTCTAATCCAGTCACGTGACTTTTTTATCGTTCGAAACACGCAAGATAATCGATGCATGAAAAGATAGCCTAAAGTATCTTAAGGAAATCAGCAGTCATGGCTGCTCTCATACTCGAACATTTCATGCTTTGTTTTTATTGTGTACGTTAGGTTATGTATAAAACGTATAATTATCAGTAAAGCGAGAAAAACACAAATAGTTGGTTTTATTTAGCTGAATTGCAATTTTTGCATTTCTCGTTTCTCCTTCTTTTGGATTCTATTGGAATATATTTTCATTCTCTCTTAATTCTGTTCTAATTCAGCTAAAAAGAATAAACATAATTTCTGTTAATTATACATATAATTTGTTTTTTGCAATTTTTTTTCTAATTTAAATTTTTGTTATTTATTTGTAATCAACAGTAATTCAACAATTTGTAAAATAGTATAGAAGATCATGGAATATTCTCAGCGTAAGTAAATGTTAAATTGTAAAAAAAAACATGCAAAAGTCAACGCATTTGTTGTGTTTTAATGAATAGAGGGAAAATAATAATCGAAACAATTATTTGATGCTGCAAAATATTAAATATAAATTAAAATGAATTAATTTGGATACAGTTTGTGTAATATAATAATTTAATAGATATTAGATGGATATTTATTTCAATCGACCTTTGATTTACTAAGAAAACACATTTAATGCCTTACAAACGTATACAAACAAAAATTTGAACAATTAGATAAGAAAATGCTTATCAAGTATCATAAAAAAACTAATTTTAACTAAAAATAACATTTTTTTAAGGTTAGAAAAATCTATTATATCAATAGAATATAGTGATGTCGAGCATGCACAGTGATAAAAATAACGTGTATGCTATATAATTTAGTTAAAATTTAAAAATTATATAATAAATAAATATATCTAACAAAATTATTTAAAATATTTATGATAATTTATGAATTTTATATTTCAAAAGTATAAAATAATAGGATATATCATGCTTTGCAAACAAAATTGTCAATTGTAAAACTGTATACTTTAATCATAGATAGAGATAATACAATGTAAATTACACATCGTAACTAATGAAACAAATATCGTTTTATGAATTGCAAAACTTGTGTTAAGGAAAGAAATAATATGATTTTTTAAGTATGCTTTTCTTTTACAGAGAAACAGTTGATGCAAGCTTTTCGCATTGACTGCCAGGCATTAATAATGCGTTTTGAACTATCTTATAATACTCACTTTCAAAACTTCTGTGAGATCTGGAGAGATATGCAATTTAACTTGATTTTTACGTATGTATTTTCTTTATTTTTACAAAAAGTGTTATTCTTAAACATCAATAATTTTTTCTAATTTTTTTGTAATAATTTAATTATTATTAAGTAAAAATCTCTTAAGAAAAGTAGTTCATACAAATTAATAACTTGCAGTTCTCATTCTTCTGAGGTAACTTTAATGGCACTTTGTGAAGATGCTCTTTGTATAACAAAGCAATTTCTGATAAGTGTAATCAGTTTAAAAGAACGTATTGGAGCTCTGTACCTTATGTATGCAGTATATTACAAAATGCCAACAGATCAGCTAAAAATTAGAATGACCTTGTCAGATTGGAAATGTTTGATGGAATTACATAGTCAGATTAAGAAAGAAGAATATCTTGATGCTAATTATATCTTATGCAAGTTGATTGTTGATCGTGCATTTATTCATTGCATTAGCGATAGAGAGGTATATAGTTCTGGCATCGAAAAATATTAAATATCAAATTCAATATTAAAATGGCAACTTATAGAAATATGATTTAAAAAGATTGATTTATATTCGTCAAAAAATATGTTCGTTATTAATATGAAAACTTTTTTTGTCCATAGTACGGCATCGAGAGACATTTTCGTAAAAAGCAAGAACAGCCTAAATTGGATGCTAATTTAATGCCAGAGATCAAGGATTTAGCAACGCCTGGAAAGCTGTTGTCAATGATCGATAAATTGAGCAAAATCTATGAAGAAAAGAAACGCGTTTTATGTGACGCAGAGGGAGATTCCAGCTTGCAACTTTACGACGCTAATATGGCAAATGATATTGTTAGTAATATTCGTATAATGCAATCAGAGATATTTGCCAGTTCACAGCCCAGCTGTAGCAAGCCATCAACAGTATCATCGTCGAATAGCGAAACTGCTCAGAAAAGTAAAAAACGGTAATTTTTTAAATATACATATAACCTACTTATAAATTGCAATTTTGGATTATTGCAAGGAATTTGATTGTGTATAATAATAATTCTTTGCAGTATTCGATTCCGCAAGGATAATATTTTATCCAAGATAGGCCGAGCGTTTGAGGAAGGGATACAATCAGAATCCGAAGAACAGGATGACTCAGAGATGGATTTTCTAGAAAACGCGTGAATAAAGCTCAGCATTAAAAGTAAGTAAAAAAAGATGTAAAAAATTAAATAATACAAGACTTCATTCATGTATTAATTTAAATATATATAGATATACAAGAGAAATATGAAAGGAAATAATTTTGAAGCACTTTTTTTATTTTATGATATTGACAAATAAAGATTATAAAATTAAATTATAAGAAATAAAATTCTATTGAATTTTATTGTTAAAACTGTGATTTTATAAGTTTTTGTAACTGTAATTTTATATTTTACAAATTAAATTTTGTAAAATGTTTTTTGCCAAAATGTGATATGGATAACCAAAAAAGATAATCACACAATATATGTATATATATATATATATATATATATATATATATATGTTTTTGAAACATCTGTTATTATAAATATAGATATAGATATCTATATTTATAACATCTGTTATTATAAATATAGATGAGGGAATTAGTAGTTACATATAACTTTTTGTATAATAAAGATCAGTTGAATTTCTTATAAAAACTATTTTACTCTCATCAAACCAACATATCAGATAAGACAATTCAATTAAATTACTAAACTATAGCAAAATGAAATTCTCAAACATAAATAATTCCCTAAACATAAAAGCTTGGGCATAATTGAAGAGTAATATAATAGTAATCTAAGTTACTTTTTTTAAAAACTTCATTTTGTAATTTGATGTTAAGATGACTACTTTTGCTATTTGGGAAGACTTTCAAAATTTGCAAGCATGAACATTCTTTATTTTTCAAAAAATTATTTAAAATTTTCGTCACGCGTTTAAGATTAATCCGTCACTGGCAGAAGCCTCGAAAGGACATATTTAACAATCCGAGTTAGCATTACTCCAATGCTGTTTACAGGCAAACCTAGCAGAAAATGAAGTTGTTCGCGTACTCTCCTAGTAGACTTTCAATTGGTTATTGTCATCAAAACCAGCGCTATGACCCGCATTTCTCACTATAAAACTGGTGCCGTCGTAGTGCATGCGGCGTTCGCCACGACGCACGAATAGATGTGATGTCTGACCCAGAGACGCAGTGCAATGCAAAAAGGGCGTTGTCAATGACGCCGTGCCATTGCTAGGCGATGTACGTAATTGGTACTTGTTGCTATTTCGCGCAATCCTGTACACAATAAAAATATTAAATTTGTATAAATATCATAAATATAAAAATTTTTAACTTATACTAACTTTCCTAATATTCAGCATAAGAAATAAGAAAAGAAATCATTTTCTATAATGTATTTGAATAATGTTTATTATATATGTGTACGTGAGAATATATTCTATTATTTTAAATTAATATAAATTAGTGTGGAAAATTTAATGTTAAAAGTGTTTGTTTATAATTTATATATTAGCTTTTTCTTTTTTGAGTTTTAAATATTTCCAGATTAACCAATTAAATGCGAATACCTGACGAGACCATCGGGAGTCTGAGATATTCTAATGTTGTTGATAATCCAATTCTCAACTCCTTCATCTGTTTGCCAATACTGAGCTGTACTGAGATGTGCCGCAGCTTCTTGCAAACATGTTGGTCCATGACGAGAGTCTGAGTAAAAGACACTGAGCGAAAAGTCCTGTGAGATATTAATCAAATTAGAAAAAATGAATTTATTATAGTTTTCAATTACACAATTCAATAAAAAAAAACATTAAAAAAGACTAATTGTTTTTCATAATCTTTTTGTTGCTGACGTAGAATATAGATTAAATTTATTTATTTACCATAAATTTGTTTTTCAAAATTGTAATGTAATAGAGCAATTTGGAAAACGACATCGTATTCAGCATCCAAAAAATATACTATGAAGGATGTTTCTTGTGTTTGAATAAAGTTTGAATTTTTTATTGAATTGTGTTATTTATATAATAATATTTGAATATATCGTCATATCGTGAATTTTTATTCGCTTTTTCGTTTTACCTGACTCATATCCGAGAAGGAGTCTGTTGTGGTCCTAGTCCCAGCTGTATCCACCAGATAAACTAGCGCGCATTGCTCTGATGTGAAACTGACTCCTTTATACCACATTTTCGCATATCTAATAGAACAAAAGTATTGAAATTAATATGACTAATTGAATAACGCGAAAACTTGGACTAACTTGTTATTGCCATGCATATCGTGAGCAACTATCTCCACCCGAGAACCGTATTGATATATCCTACCATTGGGATGTAACAAAGCGGCAGCTGCTCCGGAACCGCTCAATGAAAGGACAATGTTATTCTATGAAGATAAGGAACGAGGTATAAATCTGGATTAAATCTAGATCTATTTGTGAGTTGATATTTAATTTTAAAATTTAATATAAATTATTTTTTAATAAAATATATATTTTTTAAAAATTAAGATTATATGCTAATATTTCTTTACAATTTTTTAAATATTTAAATATTAAGTAAATTTGTATTTATTTCATAAAAATCAGTTAAATAAAAAACTAAAGATTTAATCTATATTTTATTTAGCTCATGAAGTGTGTAATATGCTATTTTTATTATGAATAGCATTCATAATAAAAATAAATTAATATCTATAAAATTATTTGATTAAATATTGATAAATCTAACTCATATATTCAAATATTTATATTGATAAGAAGAAATAAAATCTTATTTTCATTTTTAAGGGGAATATACATATGTTAATATTACAAGATATTTTTATACAAAAAGCTACCTTAAAGTTAATGACCCGGACGGCGCGATCAATGGTCATGTCCACGCGTATCCTATTGTGCAGCCTCAATGATATCGTACCATGGGGAGTGGCAACAACACCGCCAACACCACTGTCAGTATCATGCTCCCTCCAGTTTTCTGTATAAATGGAAGCTTCATCGTTTGCATAATAAGGTACGCCGATCGACTTCCTAGGTTGTCGCCAGATCGCCGCTGATCCTCCATTTAACCCGTTCCATTGTTCAGCCGGAGGCTCGAAATACTTGGACAACTCATTGTATCGCTGCAAGATTATTTAAAAGAAAAATCATGAATGCAAGGATAAATAAATCTCTGTATATTATATTTTATAATTTTTATAAATCGAACAAATATTTATGCTTTCAATGTAGAAGAAAGTTTTGAAAAAAATTCAATATTATATGTTTACACAATGTTATATTTTTCATATTTTCATAAGAAATTTCGAGTAAATAAGTAATTTTGAAATGCATGAAACAAGTTTTTTTTTATATATTTAAGATTCTATAATTTATAATTAGTTTTATATGTTTATAGTGTTTCTTGTATATTCTATTTATCATATTTTTCCTTTTAGATTATCTTCAATTATCTTTAAAGTATTTGATTTAAACTTCCTGAGATCATTTTATTGCTATTTAAAGATACGAACTCTCGTTATGTAAAATCATACTTGTTTTTTATGCTTGAAATAAAAATACAAAGATAGATTGAAAATGTAAACGTTCAAAGTTTGACTATACTTGAAAATTGGAATCTTCAGATTGAACATGATAATTGTGTGCAGTATAAAGAGATCTAGGTCGTATAGCTGTGCTTGAGCTAGTCTGATTCTGTATCGTCACGGGATACGATGGTGCCGTTTGCATCGTTGACAAAACAAAAGGCTTATGTATCTCCTTCCGGTATTCGTTGCAGGTATTTGTCATTTCCTTTACCTCAAAAGGAATATAAAAAAATCATCATTTTATATCAGTTAATTTTATTGCAATAAAAGTGATCTAACTTATTTTTTTAAGAACTTTTGAGAAAATTGATATTGCAATTGAGAAATTAAATTTAAGATTACTTTTGGAACTTTTAATTAATTATTTCTTATTTCAGTCAAAATTTTGTTAAAAAACGATTTAAAAATTCAAAACAATTTTAAAAAGCTAAATTATTAAAATATAAAATGCGATCAATAAATTGTAAACATAATTATAAATAACAAGGCAAAAAGAAATGCTAAATGTAAAAAACGTACTTTGGAATCGCCGGCGTTCTTTGGTTTCTTGCGCCGGGATTTCCGGTGCTTGGTGACCGCCGTCTGGCCGACTTCGCCTGCGTGATCCACGGTTGAAGCGATTTTGGATTCCCCGGGATCAACGATGTTACACTGCGAATCAACAGTCGTGGCTGTTAGCTCGCGTAAGCTTCACCTTGAACGGAAACTCGCACGACAGGCTGCTGTGTGCTAATAAGTGAACATCTCAGTCGCCCTGGTGATCCGCCGAAAGACAGTTGATGATCTTATTGATGATCCGGAAGCTCTCGCGGCCAACGTAGATCTCCGCTCGCATGATTGTCGGTGGTAAAGAAATATCCAATTATTTCAATCATAAATTGAAAACCAGTTTTCATAATTTAATGCAGTATTTTAAAATTTGAGTCTTAACTTAGTTGATAAGTATATTACACAATTAGTTTTTATATAATTAATTGAGAATTAAAAGAACAAACCTTTACAACTTTGAATATCTAAAAGATTTGAATATTTGAATATTATTGATATCTATATATCAATATTATTGATATCGGTAGTCTGTACATATAAATACACACACACACACATATATATTTCTGCAATATTCTAGTGTCACTATTTTGAGATATTGAAATATATATTATATTTTTTTGCTCGGTCTTTGTAAATATTTAAATTTACTCATAAATTGTAATAACAAAACAACAAATATATATATATTTATGAATAAATTTAAATATTTATAAGGATCGAACAAAAAAAAAGAAAAATATATATATTTCAATATTTCCAAACAATGACAGAATATTACATAAGTCTGCCTTTTATAAATCGCGAAACAATAATGAAATCTCGTTAGCATCTCGAAAGCATCTAATTATCATCATTATCATGACCAATTATTTGCGAATAATTTTTTCAGTCTTGAAAAGCATTGCAATGTAAATTGAAACATGTATTTATTTATAAGCTTGATATAGCGATGTTAAATTTTTTTCTCATTCCTCTTTTTTTCTAACGATTCAGTTCGAGGATAACAAATTAGAAGTTATATTCTCGAATTAAATTAATTCGATTTATATTCTAATGAAACTGGATTGTCAAAATATTTAATATTTTTGTATAATTAATTAGCGTAAGAATTATAATTGAGTAGAAAAATGAAAGATCAAGATCAAAAAGAATATTGACCTTGAAGGAATGGTCATGATAGAACAAAAAAAAACATTGTTGAACATTTGAAGCATTATATTTTTATTCGTTCGTGTATTGTGTGAATGTTTCTTTTCAACTGTTCTTGTCATTGCCAAGTCTATAATACCCGCGATAATAATTATCAATAGTTATGCGTCCTTACTTTGCGAAAAAAGTGACTTATTGTTTTTAACATTTGTAGATACGTTCAATTATTATCATACATCTACGCAATTATCAAATCATTTGTCGTATCAAAATCGAGCCTTTAATGGAATCTTAAATATTCGGTCTCTCTTTGACAGAGAGAGAAAGAGAGATAGACTCCTCCTCTTTCTACAAATTCTTCTTCAAACAGCGCATTTTGTTAATTCCTCGTTGTCATTACATATTGCGTAACACTAAAAAAAGTGTTTTGTAACAATGTACATACAAGTTTGGCACAAGTATCATGCAAAGGCATTTCTGCGGAAGTAAAAGCATACGATTATTATGATACCGTTTTTTTTTTCATATCACGATAAAGATTGACTTTTTTCAACGAAATGTGCTGCGATAAACTTTTGTGTGTGTATGAGAGAAAGAGAGAGAGAGAGAGCAAAGCTCCAAGAAGATAATATTATCTTTATGTTGTAGGCATTTTTTCAAAAATCTTTCGCATCACGTTCAAATGTCATGCCATTCTTGTTCCATATTATATCGATTCACTGACGTTGTTACAAAATTTTTTGCGCATCATTGTAAAGTTGCAAGTCAACGATTGAATAAATCCAGGAATTTGATGGAAATAATTGCATAATGGACTTTTAATACATAGATAATTTATGGAATTTTAATACACAAATTGTTAAGCATTCAAGAAATTCAGATCTAAAACAGATAAAAAATTTTGCTCAAGATCAATCTTTATCTGTCATCGTACAATATTTTTGTTTCCGTAATGTTCTGGTTTTTACTGGTAATAATTACGCACAATATATGCATGTATATTATTATTATTTATTACGCGACATGTAATAACAATGATAAAATAATTGATAAAAGTATTGCGCAAAAGTTGCAGAATTTATAAAGAAAAGAAGTCAGAGAGAAATACTTATGGTTTCATTGAAAATGATTGACTGACGAGACTGAATTGACAAACGGTTTGACAATACACAATGTTACGCGCGATAATAATTATCAATATAATTATGAAAAAATAAAACAGGCTGTTTTTTCTCAGAGAAGGGATATGTGACTTTATCTATACGCACGTGTGTTGTAGATTTCTCTCAGTACACGATCGTCCATATTCGCACGTGCTTCATTCATTTCATTCTGACTCTATTTGTGAGACCAATCAGCCCTCGGCATCATTGATTAATTCGGAATGATTCCTTCGGCAGTAACTATCGCTCTGCTTCCAGTGCTTGCGCTGAGACTAGGTAAATATTTTTTTTGTCTTTCTCTTTACAAATTTACTCTGTTTTATACAAAATGTTTAAGAGCAGAGATTGCGAGCTTCAACAATATATTCCATGCCAAATTTATGAATAATTATAAATAAAATTTGTAACCAAATAAATACAATTCAATAAAAAAATAATATAATACATTGAAAAATAAATGTGCCTTCAAAAGCTAAGCTAATATCAGATGTCACTATAAGAAATATAAAAAGTAAATTTTTACTTCATTAGATACGAATTGTATTTATTTCATTATAAAAATGTAAATTAATGGAACACCTGAGAAAATATGAGACCTTTCACATTCCACACTTTTATAATATATATACATCTGAAGTGTCCCGAAGTGAAAATTCATATATCACCAATATATATTGTAAATTATATATATTTATATTTTATATAAATTTTTCCCAGGACTATAATTTGCATTGAAGAAATATTGGTTTAGATACATAACTCTCTTTCTCTGTCTTTTTCTTTTCATTTTTAGTAATGTTTATTATTATTATTGTTTTCAATAATATTGCAGTCACAATATTGTTTGAATAACTATTATATTGCATTATTTTTTACGTGTATAAGAAATGTCATATCTTATATATACTTTACTTAGGAATATCTTTGACCCCCAAAGTTATAGGCGAGGAAGATGAGGCAAATTATGAAATTAAAAAAGACACGTTGCGACTAGTCACTGTGGTATGTACATGTATTAGAAATTTAAATATACATACGAATCAAATTTTTGCATAGTTAATCTTGCAATCTCAAATTGTAAAAAAACTTTCAGTTTCGAATTATAATGTTTCAAAGCTCTCTAATATAATTAGAATATTTATTAATTAGTATAGTATCAATATCAATTAATATAGTATAATCAATCTCTCTATAATTCAGTACAAAAGAGATGAACGAAATTTTAATAAATAATTAGGTAATTATTAGTAAATGAGGACTTGAAAACATCCCAATCAATCTTAAAATTTGAGATAAATAATATTCTCTTTTACATAGAGAATATATATTTTTCTGTCATTTTATTTAATATATCAGTTTTTAACTTTTATTTCATTATTTAATATAATCATTCCTATTTATAACTAATATAATTATACCATTATTCCAATCATTATAATCATTTTAACATAAAAGACACATCACAGTAAATCAATATCAATATCAATAGCATCAATAATAAGCTAATAGATTACTCCTAATTTTAATTTTTTTTTATTTGTGTGTATGTTTTAATAATTTTCTTATTTAATTCTTATTTAATTAATAATCTTATTTATTTCTTATTTAATTAATAATTTCTATATACTTTTTCTCAGCGTGAATCGATTAAATAATAATATTTATTAATAACATAAAATATATATAAATAATATTTATATATATTTTTGGCAGGCAAAAGAAAAGAGATTTAAATGAGACTCAAGCATCCACACATTTCATCAATTCATGCCGCACCACATCATAGTCATTACCTTCAAAATCAACAACTATACTTGTAAAACTGGATTAATTAAATTGTATTTACACCGGGATTAACGTTATCATGAAATATTCTCTGTATGTATACTCTTTACTTCAGTTTTAAAAGTTTGAAAAAAATGTTAAAATTTAAGTTTTTATAATCGATTTATCAAGCAAAACTGCTAAATATATATCACTAGTTTTACTCTAAACGTTGCATAATTAATAAAATTATGCAATAATTGAATATATATATATATATATATATATATATATATATATATATATATATATAAGCGAATAAAATTCGTTAATTATTGTAAGAAAATCAAATTTCAAAACATGTATCTAAATTGCAAGATATCGAATCTCTTTCGTTTAAGGGAATAATTAAATTTCAATCGCTCATTTGCTCTAAAAAACGAAAAATTAACATCACGTGATATGTGAGATTTTTTTATTTTTTAGATAACAAGACATGGAGAAAGAGCACCCGTAGATAGCTATCCGAAAGATCCTTACATCAACGATAATATGGAACCCTATGGCTGGGGTCAGCTGACAAATGTAAATTCTATTTTGCCTTCCTTTTTCAAGCATTATATATTTCTTCCATAAATTGAATTTAATTAAATCATATACGCAACTTAGGAAGGAAGAAGAAATCAATACAATCAAGGATTATTCTTGCGAAAGCGTTACGATAACTTTTTAGGGTCGATGTACAATCCCGATATATTTTATCTGCAAACCACCGCTGTAGATCGTACAAAAATGTCAGGCATGCTTGAGGCCGCTGCTCTGTGGAAGCCTAACGAGAAACAATCGTTCAAAACTGATCTACCTTGGCAACCAGTCACATTATTCTATCAGGAACGTTCGGACGACACGGTAAAGTAATTGCGTAAACATTTGGCCAGACAAACCGATACTTTTTATTCTTTTTCAATCTATTTCGATGCATATATCACTCACGATAATCGCTTCTGACATCATGATCCAAAATATATCGAGATGTCTTTTTTTATCAAATTTTCGTCGTAAACAGTGTGTATTTTACAGCTAATGTTAGTGTGGAATACATGTCCGAAGTATACTCAACTACGCACTTCGGCGAACGATTTGCCGGAAGTTCGGAAAATACAGGAAGACAATAAACAATTGTTCGACGAGCTCACCAATTTGACAGGCATGCCGATCACAACTATCGACGACATCAGTTCGCTTTACAGCACGTTAACAGCTGAGGTCAATTTTATACTCATTACTGATTTATATGCATATAATGAACTTTTCGATTCGAACTGTTAATTTATTATTATGCTCCCGAATTATTGTTACAGAAACAGATGAATTTGACTTTACCAAAGTGGATAGACGACTATTATTCCAAATTACTACGCTACTACTTGTACGAACAACAGCTTAATACGTACAACGATGAATTTCGCAGGCTAAAAGGAGGTCCCATGCTACAAAAGATTATTAATGACATGAAAAATAAAAAGGAAGACACTTTGCAACCTAAAGAGAGGAAAATGTTTATGTACATTGGCCATGATAGCACTATCGTCACCCTGTTAGATACGATGCATATTTGGTACAACCAGATACCACATTGTAATATTATGATAATGATAGAGTTACATCAAGACGAGAATAAATGGAATATCCAAGTAAGTATAAATTTTCCAATCACACCCCTAAATATTTCGAATTATGTAAAATTATTTGAAGACAAAATTTTACAGAAAAGAAGAATCGTTTTCGATTTTAATCTTTATATATTTAATCGAGATAACAATTTCAAATAATTTTCAAAATATATTAATATTTTGTCGCTCATAATTTATATAATAACTTAAAAGTTATAAATAAAAAAATTTCTACAAATAATCAGACATTAATTTTGACAACATATATAAAAATAAAGCTCACTCATCAAATTTATTTTAAAATTTATTATAAAAATAAACTATTTTTTCATCTTAAAATATATTTTTTAAAAGTCTCGCTGTTTTGATTCTTAATGATTCCTAATTTTAAATAACGAGAATATTTTTGCTGTAGGTATTTCTGAAAAATACGACAATCCATGAGCCATATCCAATGACAATACCTGGATGCACCGTTATATGTCCTTTTAACAAGTTTGTAGAAATTTTAAAGCCGATGATGTCGGGCAATTGGAGTGAGGAATGCAAGGTCGAAGGTGATTATGTAACTCCACCTCCACCAGTTCCATAATTGTAAAAAATTGTCGTCTTACTCTTATCGTATTATAATTAATATTTTATATTCAAATAATGTTATTGTACCTATATATATAGTAATTTATTTACATTTATTTACTAATAACTATTAGTAAACGTTATCATGTCACCGTGTATAAATCGAATTTTTTGTAAAGATTTGAAATATTTGTAATAATATTTTCGATTCATTTGGATCGATCAATTTCTGTATTTTGCACTTCTTTTTCAATATTATATCGTTAACGACTATTTATATTAGACAACTATTTATATTCACATTCATAAGATGAAAATGACATTACACAGAGATTCATGTCTGTCTATAATCTCACTTTCATCTTAATCCTTATTAAGTAGCAACTGTGAAAAAAGGAGAGCAATATAAGAGAAATTCATTTTATAAACATGAAAAATATGTATTTAGATTTAACTATATGAAACACACAAATGATGTACATTCTTGTAAAATTGCAAAAATAAAACAAAATTTTATAAAAGCTTCAAAATTTAAGAGAACACATTTTCTCTTAATTTGTAATAAAATTTTTCTAAAAATATAATTTCCTAAAAATTAATGATTCCAATTCATGGTATTTTTCTCTTATATTTTTTGCAACTCCGAATCTTCTGATATTCCGATGTGGATACAAGCATCTAATTAAAATACCTACCATGAAAAAAAGATTAAGCAAAAATTTTCTCTTCTCGCCGCTTCTTGGTGACCACCGTTCCAGGCTTATGTTGAGCATCTGGATGATTAAGTAGTTCCGGCGGACAGGTAGATATCGGACTGGCGAGAATGGTTTGCTTGAGATCATAAAACAAATGACTATCGTCTTTTGTGCAGAAGGAAATAGCAAGACCAGCTTTGCCAGCGCGACCAGTTCGTCCGATCCTATGTGTGTAATCTGCAAATAAATATTATAATAAATAGATAAATTATACAGGATATTTCTGAAAATATATTGATTTCTATATTTAAATTACCAAGGCTTAAATTACAAAGATTTTGTTAAAAAATAATTAAATCTTTACAGATTTCAGGGATAAATGATAATTTTTAGCTGATTTATTTTTGTTGAGGGAAACTCAAATTTATAGCAATTCAAATTCATATTAATAATTTTATGAAAAAAGACGATAAAAGCAGAAGAGAGATAACTTACCCTCGATAGTTTTAGCCATGTCATAGTTGATGACCATAGAAACATCCTTGATGTCAATACCTCGACCTGCGACATCTGTGGCCACCAAAATATCTTTGCTCCCGCTTTTGAGAGATGCCAAAGCGTATTCTCGCTGTTCCTGGCCTTTTCCACCATGCAGGGTACATGCATTGTACTATGATGAAATAAGATAAGTCAAGTTAGGTATTTATATAATATTCTACTTTGTTTCTAGTCTTTAATTTTTGAATGCAATAATGGAAGATTTTAACACATGATCAAAGTTTTGTGTTTCAGAAATTGAATGCCACAAATTGATAAACTCCGTCGAGAATTCCAATTGAACTCACAAATCATAAATATTTTTTGTAAATTACATACCCCGAATTTTTCCAAGCCTTTCGCTAGAACGTCTGCACCCTTCTTCTGATTGACGAATATAATGACAGGAGGTTCGACACCTCTGCTCAATATCTCCATGAGTTTCTTTCGCTTATCAGCCTCACCCATTATATGGACTATCTGTTCGGTGCGTTCTGTCGGTTTACCGACGCTACCGATGTATACTACCGCCGGCCTCCTTAAATAAGTTCTAGCAAGACGTTCCACAGCCGGTGGCATTGTGGCGGTAAACATTACCGTCTAAAAACAAAAAAGAATCATTAGTAAAAATAAGCATTAATAAAAGTAAAAAGTATTATTTGCTTTTTAGCATTTAACAGTGTAAAGTGCAAACGACAAGATATTTTCGTAGAAGAAAACGACACTGAATAGCAAAACAAACAAAAAAACATTTTCATCTTATTATTATGATATTAATGCATTTGAAATTCAATTATTTGTTTAGTATATTTCTCTATTTCTTGGGACAATGATAAATTTTATTAAAATGAGTGAAAGGAAAATTATTTTTCTATATTTAGATATATTTTAGATAAATTTGTAATGAGAAAATAAACAAAAAATAAAAAACAAAAAATAAATTATATGCAAGATTAAAAAAAGATTTAGAATTTATAAAAGGCAGTATTCTCAAAATTAAAATTATCAAAAAATTAAATATTTAACAATTAGTTAATCATTATATCAATTAAAAAAATTTTTTACTTGTCTATATTTCTTCTTTGTATTATAGTTGGCTAGAAGCTTCTCTTCATTTTCTGCATCCTCATTGTCCGGTTTTAAATTTGTGACAGGCATGTATTCCAGAATTTTTTGCACATCTAAAAGAATTTTTATAAAAGAGAAATTAAATTACTGTAAAAAACAAATGTTAACTTTTTGAAATTATAAAATATTATAAATTTGTTATAAAAATTTATATAGAAGACCTGGCTCAAATCCCATATCTATCATCCTATCAGCTTCATCCAGTACAATATAAGTGCACTGATTCAATACGAGGTATCGATTTTCCAAAACATCTATCAATCGACCAGGTGTAGCAATAACAATCTGAAAAAAAGATTCTTAATTAAATATCTTATATTACTTTTCGATTTCACATCATCTGATTTAAAAGAAGTTGATAAAATTATTCGTTACATGTACATTTATGTGCGTGTGCGTGTGTTATATATACATATGTAATGCATTTCAAAAATTATTACCTCACAACCCATTCGCAATCTAAAACCTTGTTCCTCTCTCGATAGACCACCTACTACCACAACAGTTCGGATGCCCAACGGTTGTCCGAATTTATTAGTCTCTTCTTCTATTTGTTGTGCTAACTCACTGTAATACAAACCAAATATTTGTAGATATTAAAATGTCTTATATTTTGTCCAATTAATCAATATTAATATCAATAAACTAAAATATTAAAAATATAAAAGTAAATATATGCACATTTTGCATCTATAATAAAAACATAATTCTATAAGAATTAGAGAAACAATTAATACCGTGTTGGCGCCAAAATAATACTGTAGGGCCCTTGGTCCGCTTCGTCGAGCCTTTCGATTTTTGGTAGATTAGTAATCCATAATAACAGTGGAATCAGGAAGGCTAATGTCTTGCCCGAACCAGTCTCAGCAACACCAATGATATCTCGATTCTGTAAACCGATAGGAATTGCTTGTCGTTGAATGGGCGTGAGATCCTTGTAGCCCACTTTGTCGATAATGTCCAGGATTTCTTTTGGAAAACCGGATTCTTTCCAAGAACGAATAGGATCAGGAATACGACCACCCTTTATTGTGATATTATAATCCTCTCTGAAGATACGCCAATCGCGCTCAGTCATTTCATTCAACGCCTTCTCGGACCAATGTCGATCGTCCCATTTTTGTTTCTCTTCTTTTCTCTTCACTTTTTTCAATCTCATTCTTAAAGATATAGAAAATTACAATTTATTAAATAACTCCCCTAACTATTCCATAAAATAAATAATAGTAATAAAATAGACATAGATAAACATAGTAACATAGATAAAAAAAATTGATGGAAATATTTGACTGTACAGGATGTTTTATATTTCCTACCCATTAATTATAAAAAATTTTGAATCAAAAAGTTTTAAACTATTTTTTTTTCAGTAGTATTTAACAAAAAAGAATTATTAAATTTCATCCAATCTCATACACACAAAGTTATCGAAAATTGAAAACACAAAAATTAGATTTTTCTTCTAAATTCGATATTTTACTAAAACTAATAATTTTTTCCACAAAACTTACTTTTCTTGTTCTTTTTCAGCCTCTGTGCGTCTCTTCTCTAACAATTCACCATAAAATTTGCTTTGATCTCGTTTTTGTGCTTTTATATCAATACCAGCCAAATTGCCTCTACCAAAGAATTGCACTTGATGTCTCTCTTTATAAATGTTGTTGTAATCCACAGAAGTATCTTCTGAAGTGTCCCAATCGAAGACAAACTTTCTATCATTTAACCTTCTGACTCGTCGCTTTTTTTTTATTATTCCCAAGTATCTTTCTTTGATAGCCTCTACTTCTTTCTCTTTGTCTTTATCTTTAATATCATCCTCGCGCAAACGTTGTCCATCTCTTCTCCTATTAATAAAATTCAACTTTTAAGAATTATTTATTCCATATAACTGTTTCAAAGTAAAAGTACAACATCTTAAAACTAAATTTTTTTCAATACTCAAAAACACTAATACTTAAACAATAGAAATTTAATCAACATACCTGTCTCTATCATCCCATTCTCTCTCTTTTCCAGAGCTATCACTGTGAAACAACTTGAAATCTTCTTCCTGCTGTTTCTTTATCGCCTCTACCTCTTGTTGACGTTTCTCCAGAGCTATGGCCGCGCGCTCCTCTTTGGTGAGGAACTTTGGTTTAGCTCGAGCTTCCTCCTCTGCTTTCTTCTTGGCCAGCAGTTCCTCCAGACTCAACGGTTCCTTCTTTGGCATCTGCTTGACCTTGTCCTCCGACTCTTCGTCATCTTTCTTGATATCGTTTTTTAGATCCTTCTTCGAATCATCTTCAACAAGCACAGGACTACTCTTGTGCTTCTTCTCATCTTTGGATCTGTCCTTGACATCTCGACCATCCCTCGAGCGTTCCTGATCCTTTTCCCGCGACCTGTCGCGCTCGCGCGATCTACCTCGCTCTCGCGATCGTTCCCTCGATCTGGACCGCTTCCTATCCTTCTTGCGATCCTTGGACCGACTCCTGCTGCGTCGACGGTCACGTCGTTCGCGATCACGCTCTCGTTCCCGTTCACGGTCGCGAGATCGACTGCGCCGCGTGACTTTTTTGTCGTGTGGCATTTAAAGACCAAACGAATAACACAAGCAAAAATTCCTCTTTTTACAAATTTTAATGTGTTTCTAGCTGCAGGTATGGCTTCTTAACACTGCGTCTATTAATCTCCTCTGAAACAAAATAAAAAATCATGGTTAAAATTGGTTAGAATGCTCACAAAAACTCACTGGAATAATGCTAACGCAAGAATATAATTTACTGAATCGATAAATTTAATTTAATTTACAATTAATCTCTTTTTAAAGAGGTAAATAATCTAATTATAAATAATAAAACGATTTGTAATATCTCGTTACATTAAAATTACCTTGCAGATCGTTTTCCTTCGGTATACGCAAGTATATCCGACCTGTTTACTCGCACAGATTTTGTTGCGTCAAGGCGCCTTTACATGACAGCATCTGCGCATACGTACGTAGATGTTGGAAACGCGCATGCGTAAAGGTGCAATTTCATTGGCGCTAAAAAGTAGCGTCAACCATTGGTTGAACAATGAAGCAACTACTTACTTCTTTGTTCAACCAATGGTTGACGCTACATTTTAGCGTCAATGAAATTGCACCTTAAAGGTGTATTTAAATGGCAGCGTCAAGCGTCTGCGCAGAAGATCATTGCGCATGTCTGCGCGGTGCTATTGCGCAGGATTTAAAATAAGTTAGATGCTCGGTCTATACTTACTATGTCTATGGATTCCAGCTTCTTGCGACGAATAACGAACATGGTAAGTCACACGAGATAGAAAGAGCTAGATTCTAATATATAATATTTACTAAAATTAATATTTATTGACATTATACATAATAGTATTATTATTATTATTATATAACTAAATATATAGAACATTACTACATCAATGCATATGTTAGAATCTAATCAAACATAAAAAATTAATTTTTATGAACTTTTCTTGAATGCTTTTTGTAACATATAGACAGTCCTATTTTATATATCTCTTATTATATATCTCTACGTCAGAAATATTTTATAACATTGTTTTTATAGGCAAGAAATTTGGTACTTATTGTAAAGTTTTATATATCAAGTGTATGAAAATTAAATTTTAAGTCATGATTACATTAAGGATTAATATTCAGTCATTATTCACAATAAACTTTTTATCCTATTAATGGTAAATATTATAATTGATTAAATTATATATGATAATATAAACTCTTTTTGTAGGTCTGGACTCGAATTCATTTTGAATCTGCCCAATGATACCGGTAATAGTTTTCTGAGAAGATGCTCGACGCTTGATGCTGCCATCTTCAGATCATCTGCTACTGTGGTCATGTGACTTCAAATGGCAACCAATAGCAACTCGTATGTACATAACAACCATAGACATATAATATATAGATAAATAACTGTAACAATAATAGTAATAATAATTATTATAATAATAAATAATAATTTTAATAATAATAAAGTAATAAAAATAATAATAATTGCAATAATAATTATCTGAGAAACATGCAATAAAATTTAAATAGGTTTTATATAAAAATTTCTTCTACTATTTATTATGGTATATTACGAATATCTAGACAAAATACTTTAAGTGCATCTAAAAATTAATACTTTATGTATTAAAATATTTATAATGTTCAATATATACTGAGTGCTGAATAGAAGTCTTCAGCTTATTAGCCTTTAGCTCAAAAATGCTATTAGTGTACCTATTTTGCAATAAAGTTTCTTAGTTTTATACAAAAATAGGTATGTATTTTATTCAATGACAATAATGGATTTGTTAAGACTTGTGAAAATATGGCTACAATATTTAATAGAAGAAACAAAACTATAGAACTATAGATTATAAGATGGCAATCACCAATATACTATGTTGTATCATTTAGAAACTTGTAGTATCTATTTTTTATAATCAAATTTTTAGCAGGAAAAATAATACATAATAGAATCTCTATACATAAAATTTTAAGAAATAATTTTATTTTTATCACACTTTCATCTTTGTTGCTAGATATTAATTAATTAAACATAAATAATCAATTCAATCTCAAATTAGAATTAAAAGATTCATGAGAAAACAAGGGAATTTTGAAATACTTTGTGTATTATATGCATTAAAGTTGAATAAATCACAATTTCTTTCTATTTATGATATCTGTTTATTTCTTTATTTGATTTCAGACAGAAGAGAGAAAGCTGCAGCAAGTGGTTTTCATTATTACAACTACAACATTTCAACAAAGTATTAATCGAAAGAGTGACTAGGCGATGGAAACTTATAGCCCCATCTTGATACTGATTATTTACAAAAAAAGAGACGGAGAGAAAGAACAAAAACGGCATGTGCTGTACAATTTCACTGTACAATCAGGTGCGTTAATGATATTGAATATATCCGCATTTACAACATCATACACTTTATGACACGCGACTTAAATGTATTAATGAAGAAATTTAATATTAAAATTGTTTTTTTATGTTAATACTAATATTTTATCAATTTTATATCCATATAAATCTTACATTTATCTCAAAGAATATTATAAAAATTTAGATCACAATGTGTTTTATGTCATTTTTAACTTAAATTATATTTGTATGAGAATTGAAATACAATTGGTAAATAATCTTGACTAATAAAAAATCTTTGTTATCTTTTTTTTCTTTGAAACTTGACAAATTATTGAATTATCATAAAATTACTTATAATAACATACAATGAAAATAGAATCAATGTAAAACTAAATATTTTGTGTCAATCATGTGAAATTTTGTTTATAACTTTTTGCCACATTTTTATAATATTTAAAAAATTAAAGTCGCGAGTCAATACAATATTAAATTTAATTAAATCACCATTGCAGGATAAATCTCATCGATTACGCTCGTAAAAGTATATAACTCTAAAAATCAATTTCTCGTTATTTTATTTACATTCTGCAATATAATAACGAGGATTATGATCCTCTAGATTGTTGATCATTCTTGAAGTACTGCAAATTTTCGTAGAAATTAGCACCAAAATAAATATTCTTACTAATAAAGAAAATATCAAAGATATGAAAAATAATTAAAATACTAAAAATAATGGCACATACATATGAAATGAAAAGCAATCATTATTATCATTATATCAGTTATATAATCAATCAATTTATATCTATCAAAATTATATAAATAATTTTAAGTTTTTTTGTAATATAGAATATATCTATGATATTCATTAAACACAAAAAATTATTTTCAAAATTACATAACATAAAAGATTTCATGTTTATAAATATATTTTCAGTTTCAAGATAATTTCGACAAAATTTGCAGAACTTCTCATCTTTGAATGGTCATCTTTGTCAACCATAAATTAATTACTGACGCAAAAAAAAACTTTTATGATATCACTACGCAGTTCAATTCTTCAATCGACAATTCAGTCGTGACTAAAATTATATTCAATTTACATTTAAATAAAAAAAAATGTTAAAATAAATATTTCTCATTATTTGTCAATTTTTGAAATAAGATATATAAAAATTTAATATGGAAATAATTATATCAATTAATGTATCACATAAATAATTTTTGTAATAATGTCATAATTTTTAAACATTATTTTGTTGTATTTTTTTGCAGAAAAGCAGATATAATATTTTATTCGTCAAATACAATGTGTATTAAATTGTGAATCAATAACGATTGAAGTATTAATGCAAGCGTACAAATGAAATATCACGTCAGCGTTACAATAATGCGAGCTCAATATGAGCCGTCGTAATAATTCGACTCAATCTTATAAATTGGCCTATCTTATTTTTATTACGAGATACGCCGTATTCTATTTTAAGCGGGAGGAACTTTTGGATTCATGAATCCTAGAATCCTCTTCAGGCCTCCGAGGATTTTAGGAATACCAAAGTCCATTCGTTTAAATCATATATCCCACGGACATTCAAAAATTTGCTACATTTTATGCATATTTAGGTCAGCGGCTACGAAAATTAGTTATGGAAACGAGCAAGCGATGTTCGAATTTGTTGTTTGTATATGATAAATTAAAAATCAACTGCCCAAGAAGAAATTCACGAGATAAAGCCAAAACGGATCAAATTTAATTCTATTGCAAATTGTAAATTTCACTTTAAATGTGGAATCATATTCAAAAACCTTCTAGAATATATCTTTGATCCACTTTAGCTCTAAACACTTTATATACTTATAAATTAAATAAAGAACGGATTGTTGCTGGTTTCGTTGTATTGTTTCGTCAGAGAAAAATAATATAACGCACGATGGTATACAGCAGCTGCGTTTTTTCCATTCATCATAAGACTAGTTTGCACTTTAGGAAAATTATATACTACTGTTTTTCTTAATAAATAATACTTAATAGTTTTACAATTGAATTTCCTCTCGAGATCGCGGTTACTGACTTACTGAAACTGTAAATCGAGATTCGATCGAGACTAATCAAGAACATATTTAAAAGTCGAGTTTTGAAAAATATTGAAACTCGCTGAATAATCAATTGCAGGCTGCTCGTATCTTTCGTAAATCAAGCCGACGTACTAATACTAGTTAATTACCGAAATACGGCGATCTATAGACTATACTAAGTGCGCAGAAACATACAGGCAGAAGCTACGAGATAACTCGCTTTGTCACACCATGTATCGCGGTTTCTTCGCGGTTTCAGTCTCGTGAGAAAGGCTCGTGGAATAAAAGAAGGCACTTCGTTCAGGCATCTTCTTCAGGCACTTTCTGATATGTCAGCTATCATTAAATTGACCTGCACTGTTCCTTCCCTGAATATATTTCAATCCTTTGCCAACTTTATTCTTACTCTATTTTAATTCTATTCTACCAATCTTCTTCATTTTTATCAACCATTTTCGTTATTATCAGCTATCTTTGTGTTTTTATCACTTTTCTTCATTTTCCTAGCATGTTTTAATCTCTTCAGATCCTTTTTTTATTTTTCTTCCTAATCTTCATTTCATTTCTTGTCAATCTCTTTCATATTTTTCTCAACTTTTTGACTAGAGCCTCTTGTTTTTATCAATCTTTTTTTCTGTTTGACAGATTTTCATTGATAATTTTCGGAGACTCTTTCTCAGGACAGGCTTTCGGCTGTCAATAGACATAGATGGTCTTCAGCTGATCCTTCAGTTCGGGAGGAATGGCACAGGTATCTGACTCGGCTTTTCGTTTCACCAACCGACGCCAGCGTCCACCGAGGTTCTTACGGAAGCCCTTCGCGAATCCAGGCCTATGCGACGGCAAGGCGTGTACAAGAGTATCCTATAAAGAAAGAAGGTATATAAAGATTTATATTTACGCTAGTAATCTTTAATATAAATTGATTAAGTTATATTATGTGGGATAAAAATATATCATATATATAAATGTTTGAAAATAAATATATTTAAGGAACGAAATAATACCGTTTTTTATTAAAGACTTTTGTTGAAGAATTAATATATTTTTGCACTTTATAAAATTTAATTATTAATATTATATAAATCTGTTAATTATATAAGATATATAAGAAAAAATTATTTAAGATATATAATTATTATATCTTAAATCGAGATTCTACTCAAGCGAAATTTGTTTAAAATCGAACGAAAGATATTTTATTGTTTGTTTGAATCTTCAAATACGGCTTGCTAAAAGCTTTTTTTCTGTAATTATTATATGATATATTAAAGATTATAAGATTGAATATTTAGCGGCTATATAATAATTTTATCGCTTAAAATTAATCATAGATTTATATTATTAGATCAAATTGCGGCGATTCTAATCCTGCTGATATCGCAAAGGAACAATTTTTTTCAAGAAGTGAATGCCTCAACAGCTGCAGCCTATTCGGTTCTCGGCGATATGTAGACGCCCACCGACGACGCTAAATTTAGCGTCAGGTCGGAGAAGCGTCAAGAGCTGCGCCCGTTTTACCGGTGTATTTATAGGTACATTCTATCACTTTTTATTAGATCTAATGAAATAATTGTGAAACGATGTGCGTGTAATTACAGTTAATTATTATTATCGCAATGCAAGAATTTACGATACATTGTTAATTTGTTACCGATTGTTATTAATTTCGAACGCGTTAATTAAGTTATTTTCCTGAACGATATTATTTCGAGTATTCTAAATAATACTAAATAAAATCTTTCCTTTAAATTTTTAAATAAAATCTTTTCTTTAAATTTTTAAATAAAATTAATTTTTCTAGTTGTCATCTCTTTTCTATGTATAAATTTTTTTATTGCAGACTCGGTAAATTGTGTCATGGCTTAAGTGTGAAATGAAGATAGGTTCTTTAGGGAAGATTTTTATATTTTGTTACTTTTATTTAATAATATCAAGAGGAAAGAGTAAATTATAAAAAAAACAAATGATGTTTCATTCGTCGTGATGGAATCGACTTTTCTACGTTATATTACGTTAGGCTAAAGTGATAAAAGCCACTCTGCAGCCAATCGACGATCGCGGCTTGAACGGCGGGAATAATCGATCGTCCACGAAGTAGCGTAAAACCGCGATGGCCGCAGGTCACTGTTCCGACTATCGATTGACGAATAACTTTTCTTATTTTTAGTATTATAGAGGTTGTATTAAATATAATTAAATATATCTGACGGTAAATTTGTTACCGATTTTTTCTTAGAAAAAATTTTAATCAAACTTTTCATACGAAATTACAGAAATATAACTACAATGTTTTGCAAGTACTATATTTCAGTCATTTTCAAGTTACTAATGCTCTTCATTTAAGATTGAAAAGAAAAACAATTTTCAATTTAGAATAAGAATTGAATTTTATTTCAAATTGGAGCATAATTTAATATGAAGATCAATCTTTTTTTAGATTGTAAATAAGGACATTAAAATCGGAGCGTGCATAAGGAAGATCCGAAGACTCATTATCGCGTGACTTTCTCAAGAAAATTGACCCTTGTAGAACTTTGGCCGCAACTGCGTTCACCGCTTTCTACGCTTACGAATCTTTTTTGGATATCTCCGGTCGACATCGCATGTCCTCGAGTCATTGGACAGCAGGGACAAACCAGTAAAATCTGGTAATACTGGCTCCACCGGTTAGTCGGTTAGCCATTTGCGACGGTTAGATCGGCGGATAGATCGCAAGAAAGAGTGACGGTTGCCTATATCTTTGTATATCATCTATTCCTGGATTTATGATTAATGATCAGTTAAAAAACTATACTGAGTAAGAAATTTAGAAACATTTTGAAAATTTGGATATATTTTTGAATAAGTTAACATACTTAGAAACTTTAAAAAATTAGATTTTTACCTTTTATTGCATTAATATTTTATCTAAGGCAGATAGATGTAACATTAATAATAAATAGATAGTTTGAAAAGAATGATGTTAAAGAATCTCGAATTTGAGAACCACTGAGATGATAAATACGCTATATTCGAAGTTAATGCCACTGACCTAAGCTAATCGAGTTTTACAGAAAGTGCCTGAAAATGATATTTTCTTCCGTGTTATTGTGATATCTCATTAAAAAATAAGTGAAAAACACGTTAAAATAATTTTTATATATAATTTATATAATTGCATATAAGACTGTATAAAATTATACATATAAACTTAATCATACACATTTTTATATCTTTTACATTTATATATGTATAACTAATTATGACAGTTAAGATTAATACTAATATAATTTCGATAAATTCAATTTCTAAGGTTTTTATATTGTTTCGAATAAATAGGAATTATTTTCATCTCTTTATCAAAACTTGTAATCAAATTGAAGATTAAATTTATTTAAACTCGTTTTAACAAAATTTGAGTTAATAAAAGTTGACGTTTTTCAGTTATTATTATGGGATTCTTTTGTGACAAATGACAAATTAAGTATTTAAGAAAAAAAAAATGCACATGTTGAAGTAATTTAAATACTAATACTATAAGTAACTACTATTGTTACCAATGTTTGTTATATTTTTTCAAGAGTAAAAACTGTTCTTAATAAACATAAAAAATTGATATTTGTGCGACAAGACGCGATTAACTTAGGTCAGTGGCATTTACTTTGATCAAAATATATTTATCATTTCAGTGATTCTAAAAAAAAAATTGAGATTCTGGATACTTTCGACATTGTTTTTATTCATTCGTTATTGATCTTTCAGTGAAAACCTATTGCTTTGGGTCTCTCGCATCGGAAATGGGAATTGAGAACCCCGTGAGAAAAGCGCAGGTACAAAATACAAGATATATACAAGGTGCACCAACCTGATCGTTGTACAACGTGTACTGCGCCGATGGCACGTGGGGTGGTGGATACGGAGGCGGGAACTGCCACGCGAACGGCTCGACGGGATTGGCTGACGGCGTGACGGTCGTCGCGGCGTAGACGTGCTCGTTGCAGACACCGTTGCCGATGTCGGTCGATATCTGCGTGCGGCAATCGTCGGGGTGCGCCGGCGTCGTCGCGATCGTCGCGATCGTCCCGGGCGAGGTAGCCGTCTGCACCACTGTCGCCTCAGGATGCACCGCGTCCGTGCTCGAATGGTGGTCCTCGCGTTTCCGCAGCTTGCTGCGGACAAGGCGGATCGCGATCATGGTCCCATTACTGCCAACCATCTTTCTATATTTCTGATACAGTCTCGTGAATTTGCCTATCTTCGATAATCTTATTCTCGAAATCAGAAGTGGAGATCTGAGTTCTTGATCTTTGAGTCTCTCCCCGAGAATACTCAAATTTCCAAGGTTATTGGAGATTGGAAAAGAGCAAATCGATATAGGATTTAAGTCCAGATCTTGCACTCTTTTTTGTAATATATCGAACTTCCGAGGAAGTTTGGAAAGTTAGTTTTCTGAGAGATAGGATTAAACTTAAAAAATCTCGATTTTCGAATTCTACAAAAGTATAGCAAAGGGTGCACGTTTTATCGAAATCGTTGAGGATTTCAAGACGCGCGTTGGTTTTTCCCGATCGGGAATTCTAGGAAAACCGAGGAAATTATGCTAATCTCAGTCTACGTGTTTTTCTCTCTCTTATGCTTCTACGTCACACGTGGAGCTGTAACGTCATGAAATCAGCTGTCTACCTCCGTATCGAGGAACGAGATCTTCTTTCAGTTTTTACTCTCTTCAGTCTGACTCTGCGACTGATTTTAAAGTTTAGGAATGCTGTACGACCTTCTTTCTCTCCGATACTTTCGCACTCGTGTTTTTCTCGCAGAAAAAAATGCAGATCTTTATCTTGAAGCTTCTTTCTCTCCCTCTCTCTTCTATCTCAAAGTTTTAGGAACGTGGAAGGATATTTTTCTAGGTTACTCTTCGCGCTATTTCCTACTTTCATCTCGCTCTATCGAATAATATGCTTTACCAACGCACACTTTCAACGCTCTCCTTCTCGACCTTCCGCTTCACCAATGACAAGGATACCACTATATTTACACTCGCGCGATATACTCGCACTGACTAGCTTTACGAATCCCTGTCACTCGATCATCCAGAAGGATGACTCTTTCGATGTTTTCTCCTGCTGTCGCGGACGTGAACGTGAATCCTATCGAAGGAACGACACGTGCGACGGCGTCGTCGTCTCTTAATCGCTCTAAGGCCGTCGCAGCCGACGCGACGCGTAAACTCGACACGTCGACCACCCTCGCTCATCGACAGCCAGCGCGCATCTGAATCGGAAAATGACGCGTGCCCGTCTCTTATACGGTCCTGTGACATCACGGGCGAGCGCGATCGCGATTGGCGCGCGTTCGATCGAACGGCCAATCGCCGCCCCGAAGAAATTCAAACGGTACATCCGCACGACCGTCCCTTCCCCGCTCGTCCACGTTTTACTATATTTCGCGTGCGTCGTCATAGTTGTCGCGCCAGTCGCGCCGGAAAGCCCACTGGCGGACTTGTCTCTTTACGTCACATAATCGTGATGCATAACCGAATGATAGGCTGTGGCCTTTTGTTTGACATATCGCTCCTTTCCAGTTTTTCTTTTTTTATTTATGTAGCGTATGTTGCATGTTTCTGTGACGCATCGCAATTATTAGCATATATTTATAATATGTATTTTTAATATATAAGTCGCAAATTTCGAAAAAAAGTTTATGCATCTTCAACAACATTGCGTAAATCTGTTGCGTGATATTATGTTTATGAGGTTTTTATTGGAAAAAATTGTTCACGTAACGCAGTTCTTAATACGTAGGTTCTGATTTGTAAATTAAAATTTTTGGTTTTATTGATTATTTAATATCAATTGCACGTTAATTTAATGCTCTATTGTTAAATAAAATTAGCATTCATTTAAATTAAGTAAAATTGTACGCAGAATGAGAGAGAGAGAGAGAGAAAGAGGAGAGAGAAAGAATATCATAATGTTTTATATCTTTTATAAAATGAGAGAAATGCGTATTTAATAAACTTAAAAAAACAATTGAAATATTAATTAAATTAAATAAAATTAAATGTATTTTATTAAATTTAATTTAATCAAGACAAACAATAAGAAAATAAATTATATAAAATTAATTTATAATTAATTATCAAGATGTTAAAAAGGATTGAATTAAATTAATTCGGACAAAGTAAAACGTTAAGTCATATTACATACATATATTTGAATTAATTTAAACAAATTAACAAAGAATTTACAAAGGAACATAAAATAATCGCGAGGGGAATTTTTTTGTTAAATCGCGAGGGGAACTTTTCGTTAAATCGCTAGAAGCTTATCAGATCGTAATAAAAAATAATTGTTTTTAGAATCGACTTTGCATCCATGATTATGCAACGGACTATAAGAACGCTTTTATTACTTCACATAGAGCTTCTCGGTGTTATATGTACGTCGTTTACGCTGATCTAACAATAATAGCAAGGTCCTCATCTCTGTTATATACAGTTCTCTCTTATGTTCAGTCGAACTTTGCTTTTGCTATCGTATTTCTGAAATAAATGATACATGTATATGTGTGTATGTGTGTGTGTGTGTGTGTGTTTCGGAGAGTAAAAGTAAAACAAACAAAAGAAAAGAAACAGCATGTTCAATCTCAATCATAAAACGCAATTTAATTATTATAAATGAAATAAAGAGAAATAAAATAAAAATAGGGTGCAAAGTTACACAAAATATATAAATTTTTTTTCCAAATTTTCGAAATTTTATTAACCGAATTAAAAAAGATAGAATGAAGGAAAAACCCATTTAAAAAATCTGTTTAATCTCAGCATAATCTTTCTCAATCTCTCCACTTTTAAAATCTATTCTTACACATGATAACATAGGAAATTATGATTCTCAGAATCAGTTACTCAAGAAGGTTTTTCACCTACTATCGAGATGCAGATACGATCATTTATATTAATTGATTATCAATGTCTTTCATATAAATGCGATAACATGACTGAATCATGAGCGATGGCATTACGAAATAATGAATATGATGAATGATACGAAGAAACATTGAACTTCATCGAAGAAAATAACAAGATACAGTTTTTTTTTTCTTTTCATCGGAAGAATTCAACTATTGCTATTGCGTCTCCAGCAACATTAAATTCATGTAAAAAATATATTTATAAATGTAGCAAATAATCTATGAGTATAAATTATATAATAAATTATACAATTCTATGAGTATAAATTATATAATAAATTATACAATTTTATTTGTTAATTCGTAAACAAAAGATTGAATTATCTATAGTAAATATTTTTATAATTTGTAAATTTTATCAAGAACTTTTAATAAAACAGCAAAAAATGACAGAAAAAAATTGTGATATAAAATTCAGATGAGATGCTATTGACTAATAATAATATAATGATCGAACAATAATAATAAGAATTGTTTGAATTTTATATTTTTATATTATTTATTTATCGACTCATTGAGTTGAAAATATATATAAGCAACTTTTACGTCAATCTTTTTTATGAAACCAAAAGAAAAATCATTTTTTAGATGTGTAATAATTCTCATGAAAAGATATAGAATATTTACTTTTAGCATTGACAAGAATAGAAGCGCGTCTCGAGTTTCAGGTAATTGTCTAAGATATACGATAAAGTAAACATCGATAAAATTACAAGAATATATATGATATATATATACATATATATATATATATATATATATATATATATATGTATATTTTTTTTCTGCACATAATATCGATTTGAAATGAAAGAACAGAAATATAAATATCAGTATATGTAGATACCATCTCATAATTTTATAATTTATATAATTTCAGTAAAAAATATTTAATAAAATATGTTATTTTTCGCAACTTTCAATATTTCTAACTTAAAAATAAAAGTTTTGTTAATATTCTTTCAACGCAATATATAAAGGATATCCAATTTTAATCGATACATTCGAATATCCAAAATATATCTCCTATTCACTTAAGTATTTTAAATTAAATCATCATGGTCAGTATGACTTCTCATCCCGAGTGAAAGCACTTTTGAAATTTCAAGATAGAAACTTTATATTTGTGAACGAAATCATACGTTCTTTATATACATATATTATATACAAGTCGATTCTTTTTGCATATAAAAAATGTTAAAAGCATCCAAATTGTATGAGATACTGAATTATATAAGAGATTTCATGATTTATTTATTATATATGATAAAATATATTTGACATAAAATATATATATATATATCCTCTAAAAGTATATACTTTTTAATAATTTTATCTTAATATTTAAAAACATAAGAGAATCATGAGATAAATTATTTGATTTATATAAAAATATAACATTTTGCATTTAAAAAAAGATATGTAATTGTATCTTGAGAATGAGAGAAATGTTGTATATAATATTTATATAAAGATGCAAACATTAATTGTCTATTCATATTCGGTAAAAATTTTAATAAAAATTTTAATAAAATGAAGTATTTTAATTTTAATAAAAAAATAAATTGATTGTAATCGATATCTGTTAAGAAAAAAATTACATAGTTTTTAAAATAAAAAAAAAAATAAAGATTATTTTCAAATCACAGGAAAATGGTTCCAAAAATTGTGCTAACTATAGAATATCTTCTTCAAAATCGTACAATTTCCTTTTCAAACATTGCTTTCTGGATCGTTCAATTTTTGATTATATATTTATTATATATTTATTATATATTTGATTTTGATATATTCACATTTATATATATGTATGCAATAATTTTACACACACACACACACACACGTGAGTGTGTGTGTGTGTGTGTGTGTGTTTGTGTTTGTGTATGAAACACTATAATATATAATTTTTTATTAACTGATAATTTATTTTAAATCTTTTCCAGAGGCAAAATATGTTTCTTAAGAAAGAATGACGTTATTCTGATACTAATGAAGGAGAAACAGTATCTCTTGATGATGCCTCGTGATGACGCGCGCGCACGCGAAGACGTTCTGAGAAAGATTTCTGAAAGGGAAACTACGCCACGTATATATACATACGTACACATACATATATAAATATATTGCTGCTATCTTTATTTCTGTCCGACGCACACCAGACACCAGACTATGTCCGTTTTGCCGTTTTCAGCCACGCGTCTTGACGCTACGCGACACTACCAGACAGAGATAGGTGCTCTCGGATTTCGAATTCTTGTTTTTTGATTTTGTTTTCGTCTTTTTTGTTTTTTTAAATATGTATATTTATTTCTATATATTTTTCATGTCATTAAATACATTTATTCACTATTGCATTTCAATTATAATCAATATTTTTAAATGATATCTAAGAGTAAAGAACTTACTCGATTTTGTTAATTACTCGACTGATCGATTTTCTTAATATATAAAAATAATTACAATTTCATTTAGAAATATAAAAAAAAAAATAAATTATTGCTTTATTAATTATTATTTTATAAAAATTATTTTGGGAATTTAATTCATGTCATTCTATGTTAAAAATTATTTTGGGAATTATTTTGGGGATTGTAGTTTTAGATTTAATTATAGTTTTTTTATTAAATATAATATTTCTTAAATTTATATTTTTTATATTTCTTATATTTACTCTAAAATGTATATTCTCGATTTAATATTTATAATATAAGGAAAAAAAAAGAAAATAAGGAAAGAGAAAAAGGAAAGAAAAGAGAGAGGGAGAAAAAGATCTTATTGACTTTAATTAACAGCGATTTTCAACGAACAATCTGTTGATACGAATTTAAGGTAGTGGTCGAATAATCGCGCATTCACTTTGTGAAAAATTATCGCTATTTATTTTTTACTTATGTTTTTTTCCGCATTTTTCTCGTGAATCTTATTGTTAGTATTATTTAACGTCGGTAACGAGACTGTACCATCATATACGCTTACATCATATTTATTTGACAAAGATGCAATATCTGTAATGAACTAGGAAATGATTTAACGAATTCAAGATAAGATAAGGAGCATATAGTCATTGCATGCTTGTTTTTAGGGACAATTTAACTTCGAAATTTTAAGATTTTGCAGAGAAACAGAAAACACATTTTGATATTTTATATTAATATATAAAAATCATTACTGTGTCATTACTCTCTAAAGTAATTAAAACAAATAAAATTTATGTAAAGTAAATTTAAAAAAATTTTATTATTATTAATAAAACGTATCTTTCTAATATATACTTTATTTGCCAGAAAATAAATAACTTCAATCCAAGATAAGAATTGTTTTATGTTTAAGTCTTAATTTCGAAATCAATTATTACCACATCACCTGAATAACTTATTAAAAATGTACTTATTGTTAAAATATTATTTAAATATAATTCAAATATAAAAAAATATTAAAATTGTTAGAATATTATTCAAATATTATTCAAATATAAAAAAATAATTTCAGAATAAGATATCAATAACTATGCATTTTATGAAGAATCAACGTCAGAATAATTTTAAGAAGAATTTTATTGACCATTAAATGCGAGGAGCTTATCGTGTCATTGATAATTCTAAGTCATTCTATGTTAACGATTTCTTTTCAGAGTATTTAAAATGATCCTTTGAGATTTCAATCGCTTTAAAATATATTGTAATTCAAGGAATTCTAAAATTAACTTGTTCCGAGAAAATATTTTTAGAAAACTGCATTGTTTTCACATTTATAAGCAGACATTGAATTTTCAAAATCATATCGATAAAAATGATCAATGTTTCAAAATATAAATTAATATTAAATTTTTTAAATTGTAATACATTTTAAGGTGATTAAAATCTTGTAGTACTCATTTTAAATATTTAAAAAAAATTAATTATTTTTATATGAAATGGCAAACGTAATTTTAATAATGTATGTAATATACAATTTGTAAAAAGTTTGCCTTACTCTATATATTACAAGCTATTTTCTTGTAAGTTATTAGAGATAGCAATACAATTGTTTTTCACTGTTTTAGGACTTATTACTTGAACTGTCTGAAATATATAAAAAATATTATATCAAATTGCTCAGAAAAAAGGCTAAAGAATTCTGTATTTTTTTATTAAAATCATTTTTTTAATATAAGGAAATTTCTTAAAATTAATTCTTTTTTTATATAGTTGTATTTGCACTTATACTTTTGTATATTTATGTAAAGAATTTTGTTGTTAAAGAAAATAACTTGTAATACTTCGCAAACTATTGAGAGACATTTTTTTCAATATATGAAAAAGATAATATGTGATAAAATAGCATTCTCTCCGTCTTACCTGATCGTTACGGCAAGTAGGACGATCAAGATGCCGACCAAAAGCATAGCGATCAACACTCCATATATCATATAAACACTGTCGGTGGGTGGATCTGCAACACAGATATTTTTTGAAATAAAAGCGTAATGTTTTTTCACACACAAACATGTAACAATAAATTCAAGCACTTAATACGTTCAAGAATTCAAAAATTTAAACGCACTCTAGTTGTTCTGAAATTTAGTAAATATTCCAAATATTGTAGCATTAAAAAATTTTAGGAAGCAAGGATAGAAGCATTTAATAATTCAAAAGTAACTAAAGTTGGAGGCAAGAGTACAAGCATTTATAATTCAATAGTAACAATATAAATATACATCTTCAAATATTCAATTTATTGAAATATTATAAAAAATACCAAGATCAAAAATTTCAAATATTCATAGATATTTGAAACTTCAGAAAATTTCAAAAAATGATTTGTTAGTTTAGCATTAATTAATTTAGCATTAATTTAATAGAAGAAATAATATATAAATGATATTTGAATCATTTCGTTGGAAACATTTCATTGAACTTGAATAGACAGAAAGGGTTAGGGAAAATCGAAAATAATAAATCAGTTGAGCGAACTTATCCGGTTGAGGAGACTGATTTTTCGATAAAGAAACTAAAGTACATTTTTTTATTGTGAAAGAAGAAGAATTCATCCTTTCAAGTTCAATAGTATTTTCGAATTTTTGATTTAGTGCCAAAGAGTTTGCGAGAAAAGAGCATGTGTCGTTGTCATATTGGATATTTCTCGTTTTGCAAATTTAACTATTAGCTCTTAAGCTTCTATGTAAATCAAACGAATCTGCAATTTTTTATTGGATTATTTCGGGACCTCAAAACAAACCATGCATCACTTCACTCTACTAATTCGTAGAAACACTGCACATAAATACCTATGCTTTATTTTGGATGCAAAATGAAAGATATTTTTAGATATGAAATTTTTTTAATCTTTAAGAAGAACATGTAAAGTTTATTTTAATCATAATGAAATCAAATAAAAGAAATTTTAAATAGAAAAATGTTGATCTTTAAAAAAGACAAACATTTTTTTTTATATATATAAGATATATTATTTTTAAGATATTTTAAGTATATATTTTGGAGATATCCTAATATTATTTCAATGATAAAGAAATATTTTTTAAATTAGGAGATTATTTTAAAGATAATCTTTCGATTAAAGATAAAGATTTTTTTTATTTTAAATAGAATTTAATTAATCTATATTAAAATGAAGAGAGAAAGAGAGAATGAAAAATTATTTTTTATATTATTTTCTATTAAAAAAAGAATATTTTTTTCTTTTATAAAAATCAGAAAATTATTTTTTTTACGGAATTCTTTTCCTTATATACACGCATACATATGCATATGTATAAGTAAATATATATATATGATTTTTTCTTTCAGAATTTGCCGTTTTAAAGATTTCTCATTAAAAAATTGTCATTTTATTTAAAAAAATAAAATTGATTTTTGAATTTTTAAAATGCCTTTAAGATGACATCGAAACCATTGCCATCACCATATAATATGCACCGTAAAATACTATAATTTCAATTTTTTAATTGTTTAAAATAGCAGAGATAATTCGAATGAATAAAATTATTAAGTTATATATGTATATACACTGTGTTTGCATATTTATAATAATCTTTTTTCAAGATAAATTAAAGTCATAAAACTTGAATCATAGAGATTCAACAGATAGCATATAATATGGTAGGATGATTTTCACGCGTTTTATACATACACAGTGAGAATGCACATATTCCATGAATCAGCGTAATATCCCGACCGTGAGACGTTTTGCGTCTCGTCTACAGATAATTTGGAACTTGTTCACTCACGACGTAACAACATTGTCATAAACAGCTCACAGGTTGTCGTCAGCTGATGTTGTTGGCAACCTTAATAATTGGCAAACGGCAATCACTATTAACAAACTTCGTGCTTTGTATTATCATTTCATCAAAATTGACATATATAATTATCAGAAAATCCTCGTTTAATAGATTTTTCTCGAAGAATAGATTTTGAAGACATTTCATCAATTTTAACGAATAAAATTGTTGAAATATTTGATCGATTTGATTCAATATTTCAGAGAATTTCCAAACGCTTTCACAAAAAAATCAGTTTTGTTTGATTAATATTAGTGAATAACATTTCATCGAAACATTTTAAATAAGTGTATCGTTGAAAGTTGATTTGGGGACATGTGTTCTCGATATTCAAAATAGAAGTTGATGGATAACATCTTGAAGTTTTCTCTTTCTCTCTTCTTGAAGGAAAGATTCATTATATATACATCTTTCACATACATATACACACACACACACACACACGCAAAACATGGAACTATATTATACTTTATTAGATATAACATTTTTAATATTAAAATGTAGTAATATATAAAAGAATTATTTTTTCAACTAGCATTTCTTATATATTAGCATTTTTATATAAAAAATAAGTTGAAATAATAAAATTTTTTAAATATAAGTATCTTCCTTCTTAATATAATTATAAATTTTAAATATATGTTTTAAATATAAATATATTGTTTCATAAATTCTTTCTTTTTTCAAATGTTTATGAAAATTCTCAAAAATCCAACAGATTTATTCAATTAAATATCTATAAGACTAAACAGCCAAAAAAAATTTTAAGCTATCATGCAATATAATTTTTGAATTTTGCTCATGTCAATTTTTTTCAAAATATAATTAGTTGCTATATAATTATTAATTACTTGTTTTTCTCGTTTTCATATGTATCGATTTATTTTATTTAAAACTTAAATTTTTTATTATACAGATCTATTAAATAATATATTTCAAAAAAGTAAATGTCAATAAAATTTAAAACAAATGTCCCAAGTTTTTTTTATTCTATACTAGTTGGTTAGGCATAATGTTGCGGTAACGTAAATCATGCATTGTGACGAGAACAGAAAATTCGGTTCACAACTCGGCCGCACAGTTTTTCCGAATCATGTTTTTCAGCACTAATGATGATGATGGAAGAATTTGTGAGAAAAATTGGAAAATGTCGTCGTCGCTATCATCATTCATTATTGTCATCCATTGTCGTAATCTATAAATCTCGTGTAAGAGAAATTTTATGCAAGAATTGTGTGCGAGGGAATATTCAAATGAGAAATGTTGCGAATAAAATGTTCTGAACTAAATGATTGCACCGTGTAATTTATCATTCAGCTGACGCGTAATCCGATTTATCCGACAATATCAAAAAGCTAGATTATTCTGTTAAAAATAGCAGTACCATATCACGGATGACGCTTGTAATAAATCAGATTAATAACTTATTAATAACTTGACTTAATATATCGCAATGAGAGATATAATTTCGTAAGACGTAAATACTCCTCAACCATCAATTAATTAATATAATTGATAATTAATAAAATTACTAAGAATAGAGAAAAATTTTTTAATTTTAAATAAATAAGTGTAAAATATATTAATAATATATAATAATTTTACATTATATTAATGTGTGTATTGTAAAATATATTAATAAATAATATAAAAAATATAATTCATTTATCTGAAAACATAAAGAAGTGCTGTAATATCTATCAAATTAAAGAAGCTTATGTGAAGATCGGGATCAAGTTCAAAGTAATCTGGAAATTAATTTATTCCACCAACGCATGACGAAGAACAATTTTCCACTAAAATTATCTTCTCTGAAAATAAAAGAAACGTAGAGGATGTCCCATTAAATCTCGTTTCCGCTACAAAGATTCGCTATAAATTAATCTAGAATTGATTTTAAAAATATCTAATTCCATGTAACACTTTTTATGTATATAGCTATAAAATTGTTTCCTAGTAAGAGTAACAGGTGACTCGTCAATCTGATCTATGCTCTTTGTGTGATTAATCAATGACTAGATGACTTTAATCTCATTCTACATGATTCACGCGCATTAGCCGTGATAGCCATTCTCTTCCGTCTCTCTCTATCTTTCATAATTATTTATATTGTTATAAAACTTTTGTATATTCCTCTGATCGTATGATCCCTTGATATTGGAAAATAAATTGATAATTTCGCTTTTTTTCGTTCAACGTAATCGAGCTTTTAAAAAAATGAAGAAGTTTAATGAAATTTTACTTTATTAGAATTTTAAACATATTTGGAGATCGTTTGAAGCTCATTATATATTTATACTCTATTAAATTATTGATATTATTTATAAATATTGATTTATAAAATACATTGATTTAGTAAGACTTTCGATTTATTTTGCGAAGTAAGTGATCACTTTTACTAAAAGACATTTAATTTTGGAAAATTTAAATGATATAAATCTAAATCTGAAAATAAATTTGTAATATTGAGAATAATTAAAATCTTGAATACACATAATTGAAATATGATACAGCTAAGACAAAGCTTCACGAAATAATTTTTAGAAACCGTCTAGCAGTTTATAATACAATTAGAAAATGGGATTTTTGAGAAGAAAATATAATTTAAATCATTACATAAAACATTTTGTATTTCTCAAAAATATAAAGTGATTACAGAAACTTTTGAAGCTATCTTTTATATTATACATACTAAAATTGAAATTTTCTGCGCTATCTCTATTTTTCACATATCTTAATGAACTATATTAAATGAATTCTAATACACCAGGAAAGTGAATATATTAGTGGAAATATTCATAATAAAAAACAACTTGAATGCTATATTTGAATTTTCGTAATCATATTCGTCTACGTCAGCGTAAACGCATGTAGATAAATAGTCATTCTTATACAGACTCTTGTCATTTGCACATACAATTGGAGTTCCAGAAATATTGTAAAGACGCAGGTATTCCACATGTGACGTTATTTGTATCTTTTCCAACCTGATTCTTTGTTATACATCGACATAGTTGCATACATGTACATAGCATAAATATTATTAAAATTCAAATGTAGAATTTAACATAACAATATTTATTCTACACAGAACAAACCTCATAATTTGATGACTAATTATTTCGTATAAGAACTAAACGTGGATAGAGATCAAATGAATAAATATTTAAGAAACATTTAAGAAAAAAAACAATAATTAGTTTTTTATTGTTTCAGAAACGTCCGCACATGAAATATGCTGTATAATGAGTCTTTAGCAATGTTAAAATAAATTTGTTATGTAAAATTTATTTTTAATCGCCAATATTGTAAATACGTTGATAAATATATGATGAAAATATGGGAAGGCATATCTAAGCACACACATTCTATAAGTATCTAATTCTAATTCATATATTTTCTCTCTATAATTTAACAGCGAAAAAAACATGCAAAATAAAAGAACAAATTATAAGGAGGATGTCTTAAATATTTTAGTATTTGTTTAAATACGAGCAATATTGAAGAAAAATGTCTCGTTAAAGTAATTGGGCACCTCTGTGGTTTATTTTTGTATTGCTTTCGTTCGATAACGATCGTGCCATGACCTTTCCGATCGTGAATTGCTGTCGTCTGACCTCTACTGCGACCTAAATCCAATCGAGACACCGATCAATGTCGAAAATGCTCTTAATCTCAAACATTTGAGCCTAATTTTTATTTAATACAATAATTAATCCTACATTGTAATACAGTAACATTGAAATGAATTTGGTAAATGACAAGTTTTAGTCTGTAACTATCATAAATAATTTTGTGTGAAATGATACAACGTTGTAGAGTAGTAATTTTTCGACTATAAATTGAGAATTATTACTAATATCATTACATGAAATGAATTTAAAAAATCTCCTTTTCTCTCTTCGTGTTGTTAACATAAAATTTGAAAATATTACGAGAAATTCTTAATTTTTTATAATCAATTTATCCTCATCAATTATTTAAAAAATAATATTAAAATGACAATCAGTTCAATTTAATTAAATTAAAGTTTTTGAATTTAATGTCATGGAATTTTCCATTTTGCGTTCTTGTATGAGATTAAATTATACTAATCCATCAAATTGTATTGTGCTTTAACGGATAGATGACTCGCGTACAAATGTATTTCTTTATTGCAGTTGTGCAAATAATCTTCTTGCTTTATCAATTAATACACGATTAATATATGATCAACTGTCACAGTTAATTTATATGCATATTTGAAGAATTAAACAAAGAATTTCAGAGGTGTTTGTGCAAAAGTTTAAGTGTAAAATTTATAAAAAATTATACATATTTAATATTAATTAAATTACTTATTATTAATTTATTATTAAATTTATTATTTAATATTAAAATCAATAGATTGCGCTAGTCAGAATTTGCGAAAATTGAGTTTGTCCCTTTTTTTTATCTCTTAATAATGCATTATTATAGAGGTAATAAAATAAATCATAATATCATAATAAATTATAATATTATTAATTATTATTAATAATTATTATTATATAATTATAAATAAATAATTAAATTATTAATATTAATAAATAAATATATATCATTATAATTAGTATATTTAATATATAAGAAATTTATATATATATATATATATATATATATATAATTAATAGAATTATAATAAGATTAATATAAATTAAATAAGATTAATATATAAAATGAAATACAATGAAAATATGAAACGTGTCTGCCGCGCGTGTATTTATGTGTGAAAGTGAGTGAGAAAAAAATAGATAAAGAGAGAGATACACCATATATACGCATACTTACACATATAAATGAAAAACATGCAATATGATGATAAATACCCGGAGACTTAATTTTTATTTGTTAATGAATAAAATAGTATACATAGTATTTATTTGTTAATGAATAAAAATAGTATACAAAATATATGAACTAAAAAATGCTGAATTGAATTTAATTAAATGAAGCTAACAATAAGAAGTATAATTTGCTGCGCATGCAATGAGAGAGAGAGAGGACTTACCGAGATGTGACAACGAATATGAATCTGAAACAACAAAAAAGAAACACACACGATTAAATTTTATGTGAATTTAAATGGTCATGTGATCTGTGAAGGTTCAATTAACATGCGCACCTCTATCAATAAATGATTATGATAACAAACAAAGCGAGAAGCACGATTTATTCCGAGCAGAAACAACGCAGATTGCGCGAGTTTCGCGAAATTCATTTATAAATTCAATTCTATCGATTTCGCAGTAAGAATATTACACGATATCCTTCAGTTGGTGTCGCAGGGGATTTACTTTTCGTTATTTACGTCAATTTCATTATTTACATCAATTTTTCCTTAATAAAAATGTCGGCATATAAAATTGCTCTTGAATTATAAATAGAAACTCCTTGTCATGAATTATAAGCTCCTAAGGTATATTCATGTTGCCTTAATTAATCAATATGATAAATAATTGTTTAATCATAATAGATTGCAGATAAAAAATAAGTCTTTTCAAATAATTTGCTTGATTAATTCGAATTATCGATTATTCGTGCGATTTTGGTAAAACCATTGTTCACTCTTCTCTTTTTATCGAGAATTATTCTAGAACGTATTGTCTACGCTCAAGGCTTACTGAGTGTATCGACGTACATTAAGTGAAGTAGTGGGGAAAACTTGCTTATAGATTAAAATCGCTGTATGTAAAAAATATCGTCGTTTTTTCTCGAGGAGGAAAGTAAAGACAATTGACTGATTGAAAGACTTTTCTCGAATCGCTACTTCTTCATAACGATATATCATAAATATTATATATATGTGTGACCAGTTACAATTGATTCATTAATCGCAATGCATTTCGATTCATGATTGTAGATAGTTGAGTTGAGATTGTATAAATTAAATTTATTAAAAGAGAAGAAAATCTATTAACACAAGAGTAGAATACAATTTTTTCAAGTATAATTTTCAATTATATTAATTAATTTTCAATTTTTCAATTATAATTTTCAAGTATAATTAATTTTAATAAAAATATATTTATACATGTGTAGTGCATTTTCTAAAATATACTTATATCAAAAATATTATAAATTCGAGTTAATTCTGTAATAAAACATCCTTGATAAAATAAAAAGAAAATTCAAGGAAAAAAATAATCACTTCGGCGAAATTGATTGATAGATTGATAATTAATTTCAAGTATTATTTCAAAGATAATCGTTTCTTTATCTATAATACTTATTATAGTCAAATAATTATTACATTAATTAATATTTACTTATTTTTGAATATCATAAAAAATTATCCAATTCATTCTATATAACATTTTGATAATTCTAATTATCTTTATAATTATCTTTATCTGAATTATGAATTTATATGATTTCCTTGAACATTTAATTTTAAGATTCGTGTAAAATAATAAAAACTGACATGAGTTGTATGAGAGAGAGATTAATTATGTATAACGTATAATTTAATATTCATCTGTTATTATGTCTGAATTGAATTCTTTCAAAAGTATTAATTTATATTATGTAATTTTTAATATTTTTCAGGTGATACTCATTAGCTGACGACAATCTTTCTGATCTAATGAACGAAATTGTTTTCGCATGCGGCGACAGGTGTGTCTCGTCAATAACATTCATGTTTTGACCTCGGATCAATGAAATATGAAATACACGTCGAACAATAAAGTTATTACAAAATGTAATCGCATTATCTATGTAATTGCATCTAAATGTTGCAAGATCTTTTTTCATGGTCATTTCCGGCAAAACAATATTATCGAGAGAATTTCCTAGATCTCTGCCAAACAATTTTTTATTTCCTTCAACGATGAATCGCACATGTTTTACAAATGAAAAATAATCTCTCGATAAAATTTATAATCTCCTTTATTTTCATTTTTTATTAAGTCAAATTTTAAATTCACAATGGTATATCTTGAAATTTGCAATGAGGCAAACAAAAACATCGTTTTTCAATATTGAATTAGAATTGTCCTACCTCAAGTTACTCAATAATAATTTTCTTGAATAAACTGTAATAATTTTCTTCTTGAATAAAACTAATCGAATTGGATTACGCGAGATTAAGACGCAAGAAGAGTAAAGGGGGAGATTCATGCGTCACGACACGTGCAGGCATCGCTCTAAAAGCCACTGTTTGCCACCCTAAATGCTGTGACTATTTTCGAGCCATGGCCTGGCAGAGCGCGGAGTTTATATTCGAATACATGAGGGTGAAAGCGGCATTATTTTCGGCCGCATGTGTGAGATTCGATTTAAGCCTGAGTTTCTCGTCGATCTAAAGAGAATCGTGAAAGAAATACTGCGAAATCTCCGGAAACCGCTAACTCAAGAATCGAATCTCAAACTTGCTTTTTTTCAATTTGAGATAAAACTATACGAAACTGTAAAATATTTGCATTTCTTAAAATCATATACTATTTTAACAACATACAAGGTAGAAAAATTCGATGTATAAAGAAAGTTTCTATATTTTAATATATCTTTCTTAAAATATTCAAAAAAGCATAAATAATTTGTAACTGATTTTAAATGTCAATATATTACTATGTTTTAAATGTCAATATGTTACTATGTTTTAAATGTCAATATGTATATAATGTTGTTTTGTCATATTGTTAAAAAAATATTGTTATTAATGGTTGCTTATTGTTGTTGTTTGAAAGTGAATTTTCGTAAAATCATAATACCAAGAAATGCAATCAACCAGTATCACGAGTTTCAACTGATTGTAAACAAATTTAATACTAGAGGATGTTTTTCCCAGTCAATCAATACCTTAGTATCTTTAAACAAAATTAATACTATATATTAAGAATAAATAATCAATTAAGTTATAATATGTAATATTTATGATACATTCTATGCAACATGCAATAATGTGATACGATTTTTGCGCGACGATTTTTGCGCGACTGTAATATTCAATTAATAAAATTATATTAATAAAGAGCTAATTAAGAATTTCACTATTTTTTTGTTCGCTAAAGTAATGATAAAAAATATAGGTTATTTAAATATTGAAAAATACGGTTCATGAAAATATGTCTTGTTTGTCTTTGAAAATGACGTTACATAAAAACATCACGATCGCGATATTATCAATAAACTCCAGATAATATTAATAAATCTAAGAGGATCAAATTTATGTAAATAAATAATCAGATAAATACTTTTATTCCCAAGAAACATGGTGATCTAATAATGCAATTAAGTCCTGTTTATCATGCTTATCTCACAATAGATAAACAAAATATGCGAAGCTGTCCACACAATCGATCTTGTTATAAGAAAATGACTGATCCTATAATAAGTGTTTGTCGTACACGTTTATAAGTCACCGTTAATTCGTGAAATTGAAATTTCTTTTATTTATCTGATTATATACATCTTCAATTATATCGTATGAATCCATCAAGACGATAATTAAATTAAATGCTAAATTTATGCTTTACATATTTTAATTTTAATTCATCTACTTTTTCTTTTAAAATTAATTAATTCAATAATTATATTTAATTGCTATAAATAAATTTCGTACATATTTTTTAGAAACAATTGTAATTTGACTTATTAAAAATGTCTCAAAAGATTGTCATTATTGTAAATTAGCGAAAAAATTAACACGGTTTCTAAACATCGATGTTAATAAGAATAAAAGATGTGTATTACACAATATTTATCGATCATTTTTCCATATCACATCAATGCGCACTAATATTTAAGTAATACATATGTTTTCCACATTAGCAACTAATAATACATATTATTATTTATTACTAATATAAAAAACAGATACAACATATTTTTAAAATATTTATGATTAAATTTAAAATTTCTATTTTCCTTTCAGAAATAAACATATATTTTCTCACACAATATATTATATTTTCATTCAACTATCTTTTTCTATAGACTTGTAAAAATCAAGAATGACTAATCCTTTGTACACTTTCTCATAGATTTTAAAGTAGATATTCCGAATCCGGCACGATTCATTAGGTCTACATATCTACACATATCTACATATATAATATTTCCCATAGCATACTTATGTGAGAAACCTACTTGAAGAGATGTCTGAGAGGTCTTGTACATGAATAAATATTTTGTACGCAGAGACAATATCTGTTGTCTCTCGTTCGAAAATAAAGGCTATGATTTTTTGTCTAGTATCGCTGTTGACTATTGTAATGGATTAAGGATTGCCACACATATTCAGCGAAAAAATCCATATACATATTTCTTTAACAGTGACTTGACGCAAACAATACGTTAATTTTGCCGAATTCGACGGAATAGCTCCGCTTTAGAACTGTCGACAAACAATGGATGCAGCGAAATCACGTTTTCCACTGACGTAACGGCGTGATCGTTCGAACGAGCGTTTCATTCTCCATAATTAAGCGGCAGGCAAGGTAGAAGTTATCGATGGCGGCGCATTAAAGGTTTCGCGAACAATTTCTGCAATGCTTTTGCAACGTGTCGTCGAAACGCGCAGTTGGAAAATCACGGGATTGCCGATTTTGTAAGCCGCACAGTGCGACGTAAATATGTGTAAATTTATTCGTGTAACGAACCTATAATTACGTTATGCATTAAATTATGCAAAATAGTGATAAATTGCAAGTTATTAGGAAGAAATAAATTTACAATGAGATAAATATTTATAATTACTGTTTGTACACATTTGTAATTAGTATTCATAACATCGTCAGGTCTAAATCATTTCTGATTGACATACATTGTCAAGGTCATGTTCCTGAGTAGAAGATACAAGAGATTTTAGTCATTGCTCTTGTTGATTGAAAACTTACTTTTTCATCATTTTAAATGAAAAAATTCGAATGTTCAAGCAATGAATTTATTTTAAATTTATAATTATATGATTCACCCATATATGAGTTTGTAACATTTTGCGCAAAGCGATAGACAAAATATACGTAGACAAAAATAAACTTTTACATGCAAAAAATTGCAAATTCATATGGAATCATATAATTATAGACC